CGGCGTTGAGACATGGTTAATGAGATGGTGAAATTGTGCGGAACGCGTGACCTGGTCGACGCGACTAGATGTCCTCTTTTTGTTAACACTTCTATGGATTTTTATCAGATATTAGCATTACGTTAAGTGCGAGAGGATCAGGGTTCGTATCTTGAAAAGATTGAAGTTTAAATACCGTCGGACAGGGCCAGAAGGCTGATCTAGTTGCCTGTAAAAATGTTGATGAAAGAAATAGACACTTAAATATGCAGCTACCTGATGATATAAGAAATATTTCAACTTCGATTAGATTAAAAATTAAATGTATAATCGGCGTTCAAATTATGTTAACTATAATGTGTGAATGTTTATTTTCCTTTAAATGGTTATAGATACGTCTCGAATAATGTACCATTTTATTAATAAGCATAGTGACAGTCAAGAATCATCAAAAACTATGCAATCATTTTGAAAACGTGCATAAGTAAACACTGTTTTTAGTTTACGCGAGTAGTACACATTTACATAAAATACTTTTAGCGGTTTAAAACGTGAAATATAACACAGTTAAAACTTTATTTATGTTTAATTTTAATGCGCGTAATTTCGCGTTTTAAACCGTTAAGAGTATTTTATTTAAATGGTTCATGAAGTAATTCTACTAGTACTACTACTACTAGGATCATTTTAATATCAATTGTCGCCCTTTTCAATTTTATTTCCCAAGTTACACCTTGTTAACTTTATAAAAGTTCCCGAGGGAAATATGCTTTCTTGTTGTGAATTTGTTTCTTGACCAGCCATGCGAGAGTTCTGTACTTTTATAATCCACAGAGTGACAGTCATAAATTTTTTAATACCCAGCAAAAGAAACTTTGGAATTGTTAAAACTTTATGACAATTGAATATATACGTTAATGACGTGAAATGAAAACAATTTGCTGATTGCTGAAACACATAAAACGCAATATACATTAGTTAAACTTATTTGAAAATTGTTTAAACTACGACCAGCGACGTCTCGGATACTTTGCATCAGCCGTCGTCACGGGGAGACAGTTGGGCCGTAGTTAAAATAATTTTCAAATAAGTTTAATCTATTGCGTTTTAAACCGTTAAAATGTTTTATTTAAATGTGTGGCACTACTCGCGTAAACTACGGAAAGTATTTAATTTGCTGATTCTTTTAAATACACCAAAAAAAATCTTAACCTTTTAAATAGTATTGTTTAAACGTGTTTTTATATCCCGGTACAAAACACTTTCCATGACAGCGCACCCCGGATCGTGTCCCTAGGCGGAAGTCATATTCATAAACAAATGCAGCGGAAGTTTGGCAGGAAAGTTTTTACGTATTTATAGCACCAGACGGGCCAAGCTGTACGGTGTCCCATTCTCTATCAATACCAGTTTTTGGCAAACGAAACCACAGTAAAAACTCTTTATTGTAAGGCTTTATGAGTTCCATAAATCGAAGAATAGTATTGCCGCTGGCATTGGTATGATTATTTAAATAACGGCTTATTTAAAAAAAGTAGAAAACGATTTCTGAATTATTTTTAGATTATGGACACTAAAAGGCTGCCGCCACATCTTTCGCAATATTTGCATGTTATACCTAGATCGGTCGAATAAGATTTCGAATACAAATCCCAAAGGGTTCAGCTAAACACGGTACGATGTGCACATCTACATAAATTTCCACACATTATTATCGTGGAAAAGTTAAAAAAATCGTTTATTTTTGTGTGGGTTTATAAATCGCGATTATTTTACTTTACCGTCGAAGTAAATGAATCTAAAAATATTGTTAAGACGTAGGTTAGGTTAGCGAAATAACACACTATAGACACTTTACACGTATAATCCAGCAGAGTGACCCCTTATCAAATACAGGACAGAATACCCCACAATCAACGTTACAAGCTATATAGCAGTCTGACAAATACTCCCACCTATCCTAATAATTTCACCGGAAACTAAGCGGCTGTTTATTCGTAATATCAAAACAATTAGAAATAAAATACATCTGCACTGTTTTAAATAAATCAAAATATAAACTTAATTCTGTAACTAAGGTTAATTACTTAAATAAATATATTTAGCTAAATTCTAATAAATGATGTGGAAACGGAAACAGTCACTGCCTATTTATTTTACTAAAGGAACCGGATGTATAACTATTTGGTATTTGTGGAGTAGCCAGGGTGGCGGGTCGAGGAAACGGAGGTAGTCGCTAACGATATGTTTTTTTTACCATGACGGCGACTATTGACAGGCAATGTACTACATAATAATATATAATGTAACGGCAGCCCGTAGTTTAACTAATACATTTCACGTTTTAAATCGTTAAAAGTGTTTTATTTACTATGCAGTATGTGAACTACCTGCGTAAACTACCTACAGATAGTTTTTAGGCAATACGTTAATAATTATGTATTTGTTAATTCGTAAGTATTATTTTTTATCCACAATTTAGGTATTTATTAACATAAACTGAATCAAACTAAGCCATCAAATACTTACCAATTATATAGTCTATTTCGTTTTTTACCTAAATGGTAAAATGCGATGAAACTATTTTAAGTAGGACCTTTAATGTCTTTCCATAAAATAACACAAAGCTATGTTTACCAAAGCTCAACGTAGTTATTTTAATCGGAAAACAGATTTTATACGAAAATGCTTGCTTTTTGTCATGAATAATAAAATAACGAGTGATAACAATGTAGCAATTTTACTGACAACTGGACACAATGATGTTTATTATCCAGAATTTTGTATTAAGCGTATGTTAACTGCGATTACTTTTATATAGGTATGTTGAATATTATTTACGGAGAGCACGTACTATATTCAGCTAATTACGTAGAGGTATTGTTTAACGATCGTTCGCTTTGATGGATAACTGAGATTTGTATAATGTATTGCGTACTTGGGCTAGTCTAGTCATTGCTGCACTCAACTGCAGGTCTCGGGTTCGAATTTTCAAATAAAATACCTAGTATTAATTCAAGCTTTTTGGTAGGCCGTGGATGCCATCACCCTGTGCCCCAAAGATATGATGGTATCGCTTAGTGCTGGTAGTCGATAAACCTGCACAGGTGCAGCGTGATGGGCTCAGTTTTTATTATTACTACGTATTGTGTTCCTATGGAGCACAATACTAACGGACGTTTTGGGGAGGCGTTAGGCTCGCCGTGTTTGCGACTAGACCAAGGGTGCCCCGAGGGGGCATCGGCCTCCTTGGACCGCCGCAATGAGGGTGGGAGCTTAAGACTGGACGGAAGCTCACCCGGGTGAGCGGTACGCGTACGAGTGACCTCGCCTACGCCGGCGTAGGCGGTTAAGGCATCATGTATCATGGTATCGTTATATGGGTATTGGGGTGATTGTGAGAGGACACCCATGACAAGAATCAACACATTAATATGATGAAACTGAACATTTGTCCAGTGCATTTTACGTAAATTACAACGAAAATATATTGTTATTACAATATCGCATACATATATTATTATATTACCTAGTCCTATAAGTAATAAGACAATGCAAATCTAATTGTCTTTTTAATGAATGCGACACAAACTTTTTTCTTAATTCAAACCATGAATATAAAAAAATCTTTTGTTTATTCCTAATAAAAAATTTTCACGAAATGATTACTACACAATATCCCAGCTTAAACAAACACAATTAGGCTACTAGCGGGAATAATTCAAGTCTTAAAACAATTTTCTACACTTTACATAAAAATTTCATTATAATATAAAGAAAATTACGCAGTTTTATCAAGCCAAAGTAAATGGAAATCAACTTAACACATTATTACCACAGTGGATAAAGTTAAATTTTACGGACATTCAATTTAGGTTATTGGTGAATCAATGAAAATCACACTCACACACACACACAACCCTTTAGCAGAATGCTAACAGACAACCTCCACGTGTCTTATATAACGCGAATAGTCTCCTTTTCGCATCAACTCCAACCTTTGAGAACTGATACTATGGGTAAAAAATGGTTACACACACACAAACACATACACACACCCTTTTCGGGAAAAGTCAAATAGCCTACATTGGTTAGAAATGCGTGATTAGACACACTGAACGTAAAGAGGTTTTTTTCGATTTACATATTCAAAACGGCGTTTGCGCCAATTTTCGTTATGGTATTCGTGATTAGGAGGTCAAAATACATAAGTATACCAAATTTCAGATCGATCGGCGGTATGCGCTTTTCGGAAGTACACCCAAACTATTTCTAAATAAAAATAACTTTTATGTACATACCTACTATTACGAGTGAACTATAGCAATATGAAACTTCTTCGTAGCTAACCGCTTCTATCCGCATCTTCAGTATAAACATGAACTTTTCCTTGCCACAGCTTAGTAATAATATAATCGTGCCAAAACATTAAGTTTGCGAAGACTATACTTTCAACTTCGTACAAACATTAGATGGTATTTATAACTTCAGACCCCCGTTTTAGGATCTTTTGATTTGTAGGTAGAAAACATGTATAATTGATACACGTATAATAAACGTATGTTTATTTTTTAAAATTTTATTTTAACTACGTTCGTGCATATATAAATGCTCTCCAGCTAGCGAAAGATTTATGTGACTGGAAAAAGGCTGATTCCAAATTTACAATTATTAAAAATATATATATTTAACATAATTTGCGGTTGCTAAATCGTAGGGATTTATTGTCAATACGGCCCTTTTAACTTGCGTCTAACGCTGACATCTGTGACAAGGCTTTGCCACAGATGCCAATGTCAAACAGCAAACAAATAATATTTTGACATTAAAACACCGAATTACTTAAAGAAAGTTATTAGATCATTTATTTGATTTTCTATGTCAGGTATTACAGATCAAAAAATAAATATACATCAGCACTAGAGAGAAAACACCGTTTAATTATAAAATTAAATACAGCCGCACAGTCAATAACAATTTTTTATAGACTGATTTCACTTCTCACTAATGTTTTAATGGTGTCACTCTCGGTGAACAAGAACATACACTGCTAAACAGGCTAACACAGCGAACTGAAACAAAGCATAAGAAGTATTAGTATTATTTAATTTGAATATATGGCACTGCACAATTACTTACAGGCTTCATTTCAATCTGTTTGATTTAATATACCCAAATTTAAGCATCTAAGAATCTCAAAAAGTTTCTCAAAAAATTAAGCAAAATAACATTAAATTAATTTAAAAAGCCATCAATGTGTGTTAAATAAAACATTGTTATACTGTTATTGTAACAAAATATCAGAATAATCTAAACTAATTAAAATAGAAAACCTTTCTGGAAAATAAACCCATAATACAGAAAAAGGCATACACACCTTAAATTTAGGATATTCATTCATATATATTGTTACCATTCCCACATACGGTAGAAAACCTCTAGCTCTTCCTACCACATCTTTCTTTGTTAGCCAAAGTTGGCCTTGTGCATATAACCCTCTGTCATCTACACTGTTGTTATCACCTTTAGTCAGAAACTTTACTGTACCATTATTTCTGAAACGTGCAAACATCATAGGACTATAATGTAATGTATTAAAATAGAATGATGACAGTATCACTTAAAGATTTAAAATATTTGTTTTATAAAACTGCTATTAATATTAATATCGATTAAGTTAAGCAGTAAGCAATGTAAAGGCCAAAAAACAAGAAAACAAGACTAACTTCTCGTGCAATTTTAGCACTCTGTGAACTATAGGAATATCCCGCCCTTCAACCTTGAATACAACGATTTCACCAACGCGTACGGGCTCTTCTGGATAATTGGTAAGGAACAGGAGGTCTCCCCTATGAAATGCTGGCTCCATACTACCTGACAGAACCACCACAATTGGACTCTCACTCCCTGTTACGACCATTAGACCTTTCCATATCATTAATGCGGACGATACTATCATGCCAAAACTAAGTACTTGATAAATGAACTGCAAAACAGTAATAAAAGTGTTAATACACCGGTCTGTTGGTCACGTCATCTCCTGCGGCTTTTTGAGCAATAAAGTATTACCTGGCGTTTGTTCATGCGCTTCACATCGTCAAATACACTGTCCAACATTTTTGTTATTCTTTAATTGGGGATATTAGGAAGATTTTAGTCAACTTCTTGGTTATTTAGATACTTTAAAAAAAAGATGTTTAACTTTAGAAAACAAGGACCACGTCAGTCGTCAGAGGGACATTTCTTCTATATTGCAATGACAATTGACAATCTGATATGACAATCCTAAACATGTTTGCTGTCTTGTGTGATCCACAGATGTTACTATTCGGTAAGTGTATGTCTATATTTTTGTATAGCGCATATGTTGTAAATAACTAAATCAAAATGATTCCGAATCATTTACATTTTTTGTCGTATATAGTAAAAACAAGAACGTAGTATATAATCAAAAACGAGAACGAACCAATGAGGAATATTTTATTTTATTTTATGGTTATCATAGATTATTTACTACGTAGAGATCGAATGAAAGTATTTTAATGAAGGATTGGAAAACGTTTAATCAACTTTTGATGCTTTTTATGCAAGCTGCATTCATACAAAAAGCACATTCGGTGGCTCAATCTTGAATTAACACAACAATATACTTAAAATTAATTTTGCCTAAAACATCTATAACGAATAAGGACAATAGTAAAAAAATATCTTGCTTAATATTTCAATTATATTTATCTGGACATCTCAACATCAATGTTCTCAATGAACTTTAATTTTATTGTTATTGTATTAGGTGTTGTAACGTCAGCAACTAAGATTTCTGCTCCATTGTAAAGTCCTAAGTCTGTGATTTTCTTCTTTAGGTTATCTCTCGTTTTTTCCTCAATACTTTTAATACTTGCCATATATAGCGTTTTGTTACGTCCGTTGATAATTGTTGTTATGCCTAAAAATACAAATAATTTTTTATTAAATTTTAAAGTTAATGAAAACTTTACTTTTTTTTACTACTAACCTGGACCTTTCATCAAATAAGCATTATCCTCACACAATTTATCATAGATAGCCTGCAGTGTAGCATCTCTTGCTATATCCATGACTCTAGTTGTGTTGCTACAAGCGACACAGTCTGATTTTCGTTCTGCATTGAATGTGTATGTATAGACTCCATCAGACATATTTAATACCATATAATTATTCATGTTTGCACAACACGATGAAGCTAATTTGAAAACCTAAAAGTAATAAGGTAGGTCATAATCCCATTGCATCATATAATACTAAAAATGGAATGTTTGTTACTTATAACCAGTTTCTCTTCTAACTATAATTAAATATATTTCATCTTTTAAAAAAAATTAAATGAATCATCACCAAGCCCTTATTGATATAGCTCATCTTAATGAAAAAAATAAATACCTCAGTAGCACATGCTGCCGCAATTGCTGCATTGGTACTAGCAACAGCTGGAATAATATTTTTTATAACTCCCTGTGTCAATCTGTATGTTACATTTGATATACCATATTTCATAGCTCTTTCTTGTGCTTTTTCATGCACCCAGGCAACATGTTGTGGATCATCACCATCTAGGGCTGTACTTGAACCCCAAGGGTTCTCTTTCGCCCATTGGAGGACCTTTACATATTCAATACAATGTTCTGGTAATCTGTAAATTATTAGTTCAAATAAAATCGACTTATGCAAATAAGCAGTTGGTTAAAAGTTACATCTCAGACCTAACATATTCCTATGTTATAAAAAAAGTTTATTTTCCTTATGTGCAGCACACTGGGTAAAATGAAGACATGATAAAGGATGCTGTTTCATTTACATCCTTTAATCCAAACTTTGATGATTATGTTTCCCGAGGTCAGATCACTGTGAGCTTAACCAGTAAGCCACAGTCATGTATTTTTGTGTTATTTAAACCAAAACAATTTACCTTGGTGTATTAGCAATGGTACACAGTGGAAATGTTTTCTGAGGAGGATATAGGTCGAGTGTGCATTCTATACATGCACTCATTCCAGGCAGAATCACTCTGGCATTCCCTTTAAAGCCTTCTGTTCCACCATCAACTAAAGGAATTACACTACTTTGATCCAGACTTCCTAGAATATATCAAACAATACATTATTTATGTCAGACAATAATTTATTATCTGTAATTAAAAGCTCTGATTTTATTTACTATCATCATTGTATTGAAGTAATGACATGAGCATTCCGTTTAACCACCGGCGTGCTACAATGGAATCAAGACCACATACAACTATATGAAACTGTCTATAAAAACCATCATCCAAGTCTTGTATAGGACAGTGGTGAGCTATAGCTTCACACCCAGGTATACTGTAACAAAAATTACAAGAGTTGGAGTTATTTAGAGAAACAATTAGCTACACTTAAAGATAATTGTTATAAATGATAACTTGCATTTATGAATTTATAATTCATCTACAGTATAATAAGAAAAAACTAAAACAAAATGATGTATTTTTTTATCAATTATAATGTAAAAAGCATCCTTACCGTTTATTTATAAATTCAACAGCACACTTTGCTTTTGACAAACCAATATCATTTTTTCTAAAGAGAAACTGACGATTCAAGTTAGACAATTCTATTGTATCCATGTCAATAACGTGAAGCTTCTTAAAACCCATTAGTGCCAAATCCTTTAACAACTCACAGCCCAACCCTCCAGCTCCAACAATGAGAACTTTACAAGAATTCATAATAAAGTCAAGGATTTCAGCGGAGGGTTCAAAGTCAGGGTGACAGAATGGCCCAGACCTTTCTAGGACTTTTCTTATATTATGCCATCGCCTCTGTTGATAATCAGAAGTTTGCACTTCACCGGAAGCCATTTTCTGAAAAATAAATGTTATGATATGATATAGTTAGTAACGAAAACTGAAATAAAAAGTTAAAAATAGTGGCACAGCATTAAAAATCAGCAAAATTATTGTTGTCCACTTCAATATTATTAAGATTAGGGGACCCAAAGATCTTTCTTTGTTAGAAACGATTGAGAAAAACATTTGATATTAATATTACTAATTAGACTTACTAAAATCAAGTATCTACGGGTAAATCAGCACTTTTGAATATAAATAACAAAAAAAGAATGTATGCACTATGAGAATAGCCATTTTACTCTATGTGTCTATGAGTATCACGGATCACCCACCTTATAGTGTATTTTCTATATAGTTAAGTTAATCACAGATATAAATGTTGCTTGGTATTTAACAGTATCCACAGAATAAATGCAGATATCGACTAGTAAAGTTTTGTATGGAGTAAAAAAACGGCAGCAACGTGATGTATTGTATAGTGCTTTTTATTGATTGATGGATGTTAATTTTACTATATTAGGCTTATACGATGAATCAAATTAATAGGAAAAAAAGTTTGTGAAAAAAACTCGCCGAATGCAAAATATCAGAATAGGTATTCAAAGTTAAAAATGTCACTTACTAGGTCATCTGCAAAATAACCCAGAGGTTAAAAAATATAAAACAAAAAACGCAACTTAATTTGTAGTATGCTAGAAACATATAAAAACATTCCATCCTACATAGAAGATAAAAATAGTAAATAGTAGATATCTATATAATTAATGTAATACGAATGATTAGTGCTGCCATCTTTAATTTAATACCGTTTATCTATATCTGTTATGTTCAAAGTATAAGTAAGAACTTATTTGTTTATCTTAATTATTTTACTAAGGTTCTAACTATTAATAAAAGTCATTAGCTTACCCCTCTTCACAAAATACGCAGACAATAGTTACTATGTATTATTTTTAAATAATATTAGATATGATTTCAGGCCACAGACTAAACACACTAAAGATTTTATGGATAACACAGGCACAAAATAAATGTACTTATACCTAGCAATGTACCAATATTCATTTGTTAAAAAAATATGGAGGTGTGATGGGGGCGCAGTGGTCGAAGCATAGGTGATTTCAGTTTTGCGACCTCTAACAATATAAAGTGAGTAGTTAAGTTTAATTGTTAACATAGGATTCTTGGGTACCTAGACTTTCCATATAATATAATGTGAAAGGTAAACACTCGATCTGTTTTATGAAAAATGAGGGAGAGACTGACAGACTAAAAGATGGGACAGGATTCATGTCGAGTTTTAAAGCATGCCTGTGTTTAGTTTTATATGTATAAAAGGACTGTTTTAAAATTAAAGGAAATATTATAAGTGCATATATTTATTTCATGTTAATTATGATTGTTAGATAACAGTGAACTTTTAGAAGGTTCCGTATTATATCTACCTGTGTAGCTGTACCGAATATAGATTGTCGTTGTGTTTATAATTATTATGTATTTATTACTACTGAGAAAATACATAGTAACTTATAAACATTAAAAAATGTAATGCAAAAACTACGCTCATTTAACGATTATTATTATTGTCTTTGTATATTTATAACCATATTTTATGTAAAATCACACATGTTTACTTCAGTGAGTGGGTATTTTAGTTTTGTTCTTTTTACAGTTTGTTTTATATGTTTATTTAATTTTAGATGTAAATATGTCTGGAAACAAAATGACATCTAAAATAAGAAGTAAAGAAGAAAAGGGAAAAAACATCAGCAGCTTGGGTCAAAATAATGAAGACTTTGAAGATGTAGATTATAGTTTACTTAGGAAGCCTATAAATACTAGTATTACTGGGTTTGCTCAAGCAAGGAAGATTTTTGATCTAGCTACAGAGGAGGTAAATACTACTTAAATATTTATTTTAATTTTGACATTTTCAATTTATTTGGAAAAATTACAATTGTCTTTTTTATATTGCAGCTAAAAGAACTTTTATCTCGTGAATGTGACTTACTTTATGAGTGCCGAGTTTGTAGAAACCTATTTCGAAGTTTGGCGAATTTTATTTCACACAAACGAGTGTATTGTAAAGAAAAATTTAATTGTAAAGTTCACAGTCACTTTATTAAGACAGTGAGTACAAACTGACTATATGTTTAAAATTATTTTATGTTATGCTTATACCTTCTTTATTGTTTTCAGAACGATGAAATGCAGAAGATAAAGAGATTAGAAGAAAGCTATCATAATTTTTTCCAGGAAAATGTAGATATAGATAGTAACAAAGACGATGAAATTGAAGACCGCATACCATTGACAAAAGATTTAACATCCATTGTAGAAAAAATGGTTATTTCCAAAGGAGTAGCTGAAGAGCAAATAGATAACCAAGATATAGTCTTACAAAAAATACCCAAATCAGCAGTTGCAGTTTACCAAACCATTCAATCTGAGAATAACAAAAGCAATATGCTTTGTGAGGTATGTAAGAAACATAGTACATATTGAATTTAAGTATTATATGCTTAAAATAATATTTCACTGTTGTATGGTTTTGAATTTTATGTTCAGCCTACTTTTGTATTAACAACTTCTGTGGATTTAACGAAAAATGTCCTAGATCGGAATCTCCAAGACACATCATTGTTGCACAGAAAAAGTAAATAAGATTAATATGTGAAACTGACTATAATATCTTAAGACATATTGTTTTCAATTATTTCAGGTAACTGAGCTAGACAATATTCTTTCAAGAGAAAATGCAGTTATGCAAAATGATGGCAAGTTCAAAGTACAAGGCACTAATGAAGAAAGTGAAAATGTCATTCAAATAAGTGATGATGATGATAATGATTCTATAGAGGACTTAAAATGTAAACTTTGTATGTACCCTTTTTATTATTTATCTATTAAATAGGCATTTGGCTAGTTTTCTATTTAAAAATTAGAACAAGAGTTGGTCAATATCAAGGGTTTTAATAATTTAAAGTAGTTTCCAGCATGTCTTTAATTATTAAAAGTAATTTAATAGAAGTTAATTTGACCTAAGTATTTTTTTTATGGAGATGGTTTAGGCTATACATATTATTTTTTTCTTAAAAGCTTCTTGGGTTCTAGTAAACTGTCAACAGCTCGAACACTTATTTCGAAATGGACACGAAAGCAATTCTAATTCATCTTCTATTTTAGGTGACCAACATTTCTCATCTCAGAAGACACTAAAATCTCATATAAAAATAAAGCATTTAGAGAGCCGCCTGGTATATCCCTGTCCAGATTGTCTTGAAATCTTTTCTACCTGTTGGAGTGTGTATAGACATCTCTTTAAAGTGCACCGGTAATAATTCTTTCACTAATGCAGTTTAATAATCACAGGGAATAAAATTTATTTTCTGGGTGTCACGAAAAATTTGTCATTGCTAACACATTCTTTCCCTTTTTTTAGTAAAACTGCTGCGCAGATCCGAAGATTACGGGAGACGATTCAATCTAAAGGCTTTAGAATGAACAATCCACCTGCGTTTTACGAGAAACGTAAAGCCAGCACTAAAGTAGCTACGTCAACAAAGATTACAGATGAAGAGAGAATAGATCAAGAGAATCAGGTAATAAGGATTTCTATACAATGTAAAATAAGATTGAGTTATCACTGCAAAATGAATTAATAAACAATCACATATTGTATTCCAATGAGCCTATATCATCCGTTTGTGATATTTGCGAGAGGATACAAGTAATGTTTAGGTTGAACATGTAATTTAGCAATCCTTAACAGATTATTATTTTTTTATACCATATACTTGTAGATATAAGGTAGTTTTATTTTTACACATAGGCTTGGTTGGAGAATATCGAGGGTGACGGCGAGATACCACGTTGCGGTGGTTGCGGTCGCACTTTCGAGCGCAGAGCTGCCCTTACCGCACACACTAATACCTGTCAGTCACGGTCAAGAGCCCTCACGCGGAGACCACCAGAAACAAAAAAAATCGAAATTCAAATTCGGAAGGACTACAATAAAGGACCTAGTTCGTCGAATACACCCTCAAAATCCCAAGGTACGTGTGTCTTAGCAGGTAATTCATAATTTTAAATAGCTTTAGGTTATCTATACTATTATATGTATATGAGTAAAATTTGTGGACTCGACTACAGTTTACAATGTTCCGGCTTCAAATTCTGGGACGGTAAAAATATTGTTGTTTAATAACAGCTCGGAGTTTGACGTTAAAACATATTGAGCACTCCTGTGTGTGAAACGTTAAACCATCAGTCCCTATTATCATCACTAATTGACTGAATAGCATGCTTTTCTTGCAGATAAAAGTGCAGAAGAAGTTTCCTTGGAAACCCCCACAAAGTCTCAACAGCAAAAAGATGATATCGAGTCACGAAACGATGTTACACTAACCGAAGCTGTTATGAGTATTGTTGGAATCACAGGCGGAGACGAAAACAATGAAATACAGGAGTCCAATGCACAGCCCAAATATGACATAGAAAGCCTCAAACCTATGCATAAACTTCCATTCTCACATCAAGAAGAAAAAAGCAACTTCAATGCTCTCAAGCAAAGAATGCTTCAAGAAATAGAATTAGAACAACTCTTATGCAAAAAATGTGACAAGTGTTTCCAAGAGTTAATAGAGCTCTTCGATCATGTAGCTGGGCATTACAACTGGATGAGATATGCCTGTAAACTTTGTCCTTTTAAGCATTACGAATATGAAAAAGTTGTCGAGCATATAAGGGTTGTTCATAAATTGAAGGGTGATTCAGATTTTAGTGCACTAAAAGCGATCGATGGCGTCAAAGCCGCAGAATATTCTGACCTTAAAGATGATGTAAATGAAACTAGTCCCGATTCAAGAAGGCCAAGCCGCTGCTCCAGCGAATCCAGCAGATTTTCTGATGACAGCTCATCAAGTAGTACAAGGATAGAAGTTGGAAGTCGAAAACGAAAAATGAATCCTGGTCGGAATGTTTCCAAGAAAAAAAGAGTTGTCTTAAACGGTAATAATATAATAAAGCTAAGTCCTTAATTTATAAACTTATGTTAATCTTGTAATATCGTAAATATAAAACCAACTTTCATGTTTCCCTACTTTGAAATTATTTGAATGAACTATTGAATAAGGTTCTAATAATTTTTTTTTAACTTTTACAGATGAAGGCGATGGTGATAGTAAAGATAGTGGTAGTTCTCCCCTTAAAATGTCTACTGAAAATGACTTGTCTTCAAAGTCTAGAGTATTTGATGAAAATTCTTCTGATATGGATGATTCCGAAGTTAGGTCTACAAAACTTAAATATACATTATCTACGTCTCGGAGACCTGTGCGTAAGAGAACTAAACCGAAAAATGAAGATTATGAATATGATTTATCAAATTTACTTAAACTGGAAGCGCAAGGGTACAGAGACTCGTTTTCGAGTTCAGCAAAGCCTGCAGTAACTAAAAGGAAAAACCAACAAGATTTACATTATAACTATGCCATTATCAATAAAGAATGTTGTGGGGCTTTAGCTTTAATGGCTAGACAAAGCGTTGAAGAAAATAAGGCTCTTGTGAAAACTACCAATGTTGAAAAAATATTAAATACCACTAAAGAAAAACGGATATCAAATATATTTGTAAGGCCAATGCTACCGAAAATAACTCGTATTGAAAAAGTTTTATCAGTAGACTCGGGACCGACCCTATCAAAAGAAAATCAGTCAGCATCACTACTAAAACAAAATAAAATAATAAATAAGCAGCCTTTGGATTTCAAAGATGTACCTGAAGATACTGCGACAGAAGTTACTCAAACAAATGATTTGATTATTAAGACAAAATCTCAAAGTGAAGGAAAAAAATCTGATGAAAGGAATGAAAACCATAATGAAACAGGTGAAATAAATAAAATTCCTACCAAACCAGCAATAGATGATAAAACTTCCTCTCAAAACAAGGGAAAGTCACAAAACTTAAATGTAGTTCCCATAAAACTCCATAAACCGGGTATACTACAGAACCCATTAATTAAGAAAAATATGACAGAATTTTCAAAAGCTGGAATGAAAACTAAAATTCTTGTTATTAAATATAAAGGGAAAGATGGTGTTACAAACGTTAAGGCGCCAAAAAATATCCCGACGATAAAGATTAAAGATCCTAAATTGAATAAATGTAATGAGAGGATAAAATCCGACCAAGTTTTTGTCATTCCAGTACCAAAAGGTGAAGGTACAGCTATACCACGACCGTCCATCGCCAATAATAATAACAAAACAGAAATACCTTCATCGGCAACACAATTTAAATCAGCAATTTCTAATGAGGAATTGAATAACCATTGTAACGTTGCAAGTAAGAATAACGCAACTGAAAAAAATGAGAACCAAGATAAACCTGAAGTACACATTGAAAATACGAATGCGGAGACTCCTGTAAACAATAAACCATTGTCTACGCCAGATGCTGAGTTAGCAATAACGAACTGAATATCTTTATGATATGGAAAAGAGTAAGATATTAAATAAAATATGTAAAAAAACAGTCATATTTGTTTGCCCTGAAAAAACCAGCCTACACCCTTTCTTTAAAATCAACTGGTAGATGCGGAACATGGTTTTGCCCCGCTAACTGACTACGAGCGCGGCTACGACTCTTCTATTTCTCTGACGTATCAAATTTTTAATATCTTTTGATGGCTATTCCATAGCCGATTTGAACAATATAAAAACAGAGATGATAATTGATTTATGTTTAATATTGTAGAACTTGCTTTTGTCAATCAAGTATAAATAGTTTTCGCAGCTCATGCGACGACAGATGTTTCATCGCTTTTGGGTTTTCTTGAGGTAGAGGTAATATTTGAAGACATAAATATAGCCCGTGTTACTCAAGGTGAAAGTATTTTTCTAATGAAATTTGTTTTTTACATCGGCACAGTAGTTACTGTATTAACACATTAAACACACAAAAAAAATAGAGAATTAGTGTAGCTAAATTTGGGCAGATTGGTCTTTTCAAATTAAAATTATACACATAAATTGAATAATAAATCAAATTATTTATTACTAGCTGTGCCAGCGACTTCGTCCGCGAGAATCGTTATTTTGGGCATCCAAATTAGTTTTAGCATCTTTATAAACTTACGATGTTACCTTTCGCGTCCCTTTCCATCGATCTTGTAAGTTAATCTTAAAAGAGACGTATAACGTCGGGAACGTTTTTTTAGATCATGTAAAAAGAAACCATTCTTTCATACACATTTTTTTAGGTATCTTGAACCGTTTTCGCAGCTTACGCATCTGAAAGCCACAAAGATAAAAGTTTCCCCCGTTTTGTTCAGATATCCTGATATATCTTCGCTTCTATTAGTCACAGCGCAACGTTTTATAGCCACAATAAATGCTCTAACCAACACTTTTTCAATTCGAACCCGTAGTTTCTGAGATTAGCTCGTTCAAACAAACAAACTCTTCAGCTTTATATATTAGTATAGATTTTCGATAAGCGAAGTTCATCCTTCCTTAACAATGTTGGTATTATAATATATATTATATGGTATTATATAAATAATGTTTGATGATGACGATTTTTAATTTACTATGAGCAATTTGACACACATAAAAGAAAATTCTCATCAAAAATATAAAAATCTTGTTACTATAATAACATACAAAACTGTATAAGTTCATTTGGGTAAAAATAAATAATGTAACCTTTTTGGTAGGCAATGGGCTTTAAACATGTTGAAAATGTCATTTTAATGTCAGAAGTATAAAATAAAAATGTATAAGGGTTCATAAAGAAAGGTATGTAGAAGAAAAAGTAGTGCTAAATTATAACTAGTTTATTGACATAATATTACATTTTCCCCCAATTCTTTAATCAGCAATTTAAGCATTCTTGGCTAGTGTTTCTGCCTTGGCAACAACTTCTTCAATTGGTCCAACCATATAGAATGCAACTTCTGGAAGGTGATCATATTCTCCTTGCAAAATCTTAGAGAACCCTTTGATAGTTTCTTCTAGGGGAACCAGTTTACCAGGGTGTCCTGTGAAAACTTCTGCTACTTGGAAAGGCTGGGACAGGAATCGCTGGATTTTACGTGCGCGTGCTACAGTCAGCTTGTCTTCTTCAGACAACTCGTCCATACCCAAAATAGCAATAATATCTTGGAGAGACTTGTAATCTTGGAGAATTTTCTGAACGCCACGAGCAATGTTGTAATGCTCAGCACCAATAATGTTGGGGTCCATAATACGTGAGGTGGAGTCGAGAGGGTCTACAGCCGGGTAGATACCGAGCTCAGCAATAGCACGTGACAGTACAGTGGTGGCATCCAAGTGAGCAAAGGTAGTGGCAGGGGCAGGGTCAGTCAAATCATCAGCAGGCACGTAGATAGCTTGTACAGATGTAATGGAACCCTTCTTTGTAGTGGTAATACGTTCCTGCATAGTACCCATGTCAGTGGCCAGAGTAGGCTGGTAACCTACAGCAGATGGAATACGACCCAACAGGGCAGACACCTCAGAACCAGCCTGGGTGAAACGGAAAATGTTGTCAATGAAAAGTAGCACATCTTGGCCTTCTTGGTCTCGGAAGTACTCAGCAACAGTCAAACCTGTCAGAGCAACACGGGCACGGGCACCAGGAGGCTCATTCATCTGACCGTACACTAGGGCCACCTTGGATGTCTTATCTTTAAGAGAAATAACACCAGACTCAATCATCTCATGGTACAAGTCGTTACCTTCACGTGTACGCTCTCCAACACCAGCAAATACCGAGTAACCACCGTGGGCTTTAGCTACATTGTTAATCAGCTCCATGATAAGTACAGTCTTGCCCACACCGGCTCCACCGAAAAGACCAATCTTTCCTCCCTTTGCATAGGGGGCTAGTAAGTCTACCACTTTGATTCCAGTGACAAGAATCTCTTGCTGTACAGACATGTCGACAAACTCGGGCGCTTCGGCGTGAATAGCGGCGGTTTTGTCGGTGGGGATGGGACCGCGCTCATCGATGGGCTCACCGATTACGTTGATGATGCGGCCCAACGTCTCCGCTCCTACTGGAATACGGATTGGAGAGCCGGAGTCGTGTACGGGCTGACCACGAACCAAACCTTCTGTACCGTCCATGGCGATGGTGCGCACCGTGTTCTCTCCCAAGTGTTGCGCCACCTCAAGGACAAGCCTGGGCGAACGGTTCTGTACTTCCAAGGCATTGAGAATGGGAGGTAGATTATCTTCGAATTGTACGTCTACGACGGCACCAATGACTGCAACCACCTTACCTTGCCCCTTACCAGCAGCTTTACCAGCATAATTCCTGTTTCCGGCTGAGACGGACACAATTTTTCCACATTCGGCTACGGACTTTGCGGCCAGAAGGCTGCTACCGACTCTTCCTACAGCTCCTAACATTTTTGATAAATGATATAAAAGAGCTGAGAAAAGAACCGTCGAAGAATAAAATTATGTAATAAGCCCTGTGTGATAACTATTAACCTATAATCTATATGATACGATTCCAAACTACAGCTGCGATCAGCTGTGGTGCGCCGTCTGCGCGAAGTCTGAATTCCTTAGTCTGTAATTATCACTTAATGTCAGTTGTCAACCCTGAATATAAAGTTCGGTTATTTAAAATGAAATACTATTGTAAAGATTACTACTATAGCACCTCTAATAGTACTTAAATATGAGATTTCATAATAATGATAATATAATATATAATCGAAACGTTTTCCTATATTATTTTGTTCTTATTTAAGTATAATATGGCTCGTGCTGTAAATAAATTAGGGAGTAAAGTCTAAAATATAATGCTAACTAGATTATAATCAAACAATATAAATAAAAAGACCTTGAACTTAACCCATTTTTCTACTTTCCAGGTCTTTGAATCAGCGTTACTCTGTTTTCCAAAATCAAAATTTCTTTAAATTAAAAATTAGGATTTAAAAAAAAGATGACGCTGGTGAGGTTTGAACCGGCATCCACGGCGTTCCGGGGTACTTCTCTAACCAATTGAGCCACCGTGTTTTAAAAACATTATCATCATTTACAATTTACATCCACATCGAGCCTAAAAAATGTTTTTGTAAGTAACACTTACGTAATGTCCTTCGAAATAATACTACTTCAAAAAAGCTATCTAAAGTTAAAGCGGATGTATTGCAAATTGAATAAATTGAATGAAAACCGAAATAGGACAAAACTTGTTTTATTATTACTAAATGATGTTTGTATTGCTTTTTATTACAAAATAATATGAATGTTCCTAGCGTATTCTGAATCAGCTTGCTTACATTAAAATGACATTTTATAGAATAGAGTTTTTATATAATGTGTATATAACATGTAATAACTAAGCCCTTAATATCACTTATATATTTTTTTGTCGTTTTATTTTATTCTCGATTCTTTTTTGTATTCATTTTTGTTTTCAAGGCGCTTCACTATCAGTGATATCCATCAAAGTACGACCTAAATATAATCTATGAGATATCATACTCTGCTAGAAATGCAATACGAAAAAGGCGTGAAATGTCATCCTTATCGTTCTTGATTGTAGTATATTACATCTGTGTCTTAATATTTCCCTTCCACAGATTAATTAATTGTGCACTTGTACAACAATAGTATGATAGGTCTTCGTATAATTATTTCATAACATTGAAAAATTAAGTAATTTTACATAAGATATTCTTTTAGAATGTAAAAAAAAATTCAATTTGCTTTTCTTCATACTTGATACAGTGGTTTGGGATTTGGTGAAGATTATTAAAAATAATGCTTAGAAGTCGGATCGTATTTCAAGTGAGTTATTTTTTGGCTTATGATACAAATTAAACCTTGTTTTATATTTACAGTATGATAGAAAAATTTAATAATACTAATATTTTCCGTCGTTTTAGGTCCTTCGCCAATGTGGAAGAAAAGGTTATTTTGATAATGCTAGAGTTATCACCTGCCCCAGAAAGTACCTTATAAATTGCTATAGAGAACAAAGTACAGTAACAATTGAAGAAAGCTATGTAAAAAAATTCATGAAGGCAGTAGGATGGATGGACAAAGAACGAACTGTAATAAATCTTTGTAATCAGCATCAACAATAAGATTGTTTTGATTTAAATATTAAATAAACATTACCCTTTCAGCGACTTAAACTAACTGGATTCTTTTTGTACGAGTCGGTGCCTGAGAGAATAGATTATCAACAATGGTTTGAAGTACTAGAGCTTCCGGATACTTTTGCCTCATGGTTCATAGTGACCGAACTTCATGTTTGGTTACTACTAGTACGGTACATGGCACAAGATGTCCAAATCATTGGTGAAAAGAAAAAATATCTCAAAGGAGATGGACACTTTGTTAGAAATTGTATCATAGAAGCATTATGGGCTGATGTTGCCAATAGGATAAAGTTATTAGAGGTAAATATTGTGATTTGATATTGATACAAGCTTACAATACTTAATTATACTAGTTTTTGGCCTAAATTTTCAGGGTGCTAATCCAACCATTGCTAGAAAACAAGTAACAGAAATATCAGAACAGTTTCAAGCCGCACTTGTAGGTTACGATGAAGGTCTAAATGATGACAGGGTGCTTGCAGCAGCTGTATGGAGGAGGTTTTACTCACTATCTGAGGATACTCCACCCAAACATGTCGAAAAGATTGTTCATTTTATAAGACATCAGGTAATATGCTTATATTTGTAATTTACTCACCTGGTATTTCAAGACTCAAATAATAACAATGATTTATCACCAACAAGTGCATGATAAAGAAAATAACTAATTTTTATTACTCCCATTGTGGTTTTGTACAAATATGCCTAATAATAATTAATTGTGGAATGTTTGTTTCCACATTACACGTGAATGACTATAAATTTAAAATAAAAAAGGTCAAAACATTCTTTTTTATTTTTATCTTATCTTCTGCGTAATTTAAATTTAGTAATTTTTAAATGTATATTCATAATCTTAAATTCTTTCAGATGTCTCTCCTAGACAGGATACCAAGTGATGATTTGAAATGGAAGCCACAAATAACTTGGCTAAGTATCAGTGATCAATAAGTAGATAAGTTAAATTTGTTAAAATTGAACTGTTAATTGTTAGAAAATAAATAGACTATAAATTAATTTAAACTTTATTTAAGAGAGAAGTACAAATCTGTTAATTTATTACATAGTTCACGATCAAATAACACAGTCACTACAATTCTACATAGATTATTAATTTTACAGATTTCGTCACAGTTTTGCCATCTAGTGTCACTTAATCTTGTCTGGAAAGCACTATATATATCTAATAGGTATTTTTTGTCTGTGACCATTGAATATACCAAATCATTCATGGCAGCCGGACTGAGGTCACTGATACCATATGTATTTTTGATATCATACAGCTTGAACCAATGGGGCCGTCTATTTGGTGTTAGGTTTGCTTCCGTTAAGTTATAAACGTAGTTAGTGATGCTGAGAGGGGCCTGTAATGTAATAAAATTATGACTTGCACATCTTATGTTTAACGAGGTTGGCATTTCAATTTGATACTTGCTTTAAATATCCAGTAAACTTTAAAAAGTTACATCATTATTTGCGTTAAGAGTGACAATATATCCAGGATTTAAATAACTGGATAGTCGATGATAAATCGACTATACAAATGTCATCAACTACTAGGTACAATTAGATTTTTTTTATCTGCCCCCCCATAGAAAAAACAGGTTTTCAATTATACTTTTACGAGGAAGCAACTTAGACAATATAGGTTTCCTTTGTCATTTGAGTTAACTACAGGACTTAATGGAATGGGGTTCGAGATATCTTATTGATTATTTTGAAACTGAACTTCGAATAAGGTAAGGATAAGACGAACGTTGGTAGCAATGAATGACTAATTGTAATCAATAGATCGTGAGTTCGATCCACACTAGGACAATTATGTTTCAAACCATTTTTTATTTTTCTGAGACATGTTAGGAATTCTTCTGTATATCTGGATATTACATGCATGGTAAGAATAATCGTAATCCGGGTCATCACATCGTCCACAGATGAAAAGCCATTAAATTTAATCGCATTTCGCCAAAAGATGTCGCCAGGGCATCTTGTTGAGATGTTATATGTCCCTTCCGTCAAGTTAGCGCCATGCTTGCCTGCCCTTCTCCATTACAAAGGTGTACTTACGTAGTTAGTTGGACTAATGATGGCGATCTTGTAGTTAACGTTGTTGTTAGAGTAGGCACTTGCACTGCCCGCGCCCCAAGACACAGCGATGGGAACACTCTTGTTTTCGTTACTGTAGAATATTTTGAACTCGTCGGAATGTGTGTGCCCATTAAATTCAGCAGCTATAGTTTTCTGGAATCTAGAAATTTTAGGGACTTATGAGAGGATTTATTAACATATAAGTATGTAATAATGAAGCGTCAAGGTGTTCATTTAACTTGATATTCACGTTAAAAATTATTTGTATTTGTATTGTTTGTATTTTGTTCAATTAATGCAACGGGCTTTGGCAGTTTTATTGTAAATCCTTACTAATATTATAAATGCGAAAGTAACGCTGTCTGTACAGACAGACAGCTGTCTGTTACTCTTTCACGCCAAAACTACTGAACGAATTTAAATGAAATTTGGTACACAGGTGGTCTAGACCCTGAGAAAGGACATAGGACATACTGTTTATTTCGAAAAGGGGGTTTTAAGGGGTGAATGTTTGTATGGAAATTCGTGGTTTTTGAAGCTTGAAACTTTCTTCTTCGGCTTTTTGGGAATAGGAGTGGGAGTGAGAGTAGGTGGGAGTGTTGCAGCAAAGTAGCACTTACAACATAAATTGGCTGCGATAAATGCTCAATTACATAAATTATTAAACAGCCTAAATAATTAAAAATTCTACCCCAAGTCACTATTCCACGCGAACGAAGTCGCGGGCACAGCTAGTAATAAATAAATGAATTCCGGAGATTTAAGATTTTGAGTGCGTATAATAAGGTAAAATGTAGTGATTAACATTTTATTTTTGGTATTTCAAACCTCATCTACGGACTAAAGCGTACATTTAAGGTTTTAGCTTATCAACGCAACAGTAAATATGTAGTTCTTATAACAGTGAAAATACGCAGGTCTTTACTGGAAAAACTTTGCTGGGTGTTTTAAAATTTGTGTTTCAATCCGTCAAAGTTTATTGGCTATAGGTCACCTGTTCACAATTCGATTGTATTCCCTTGTCCAGGTGTATGTTAAATCGTGAACTCCTGGTGGTATGTGGCTCAAGATGTGGACCTTTTCACCGGCCTGTTCTGCTTTGTACAACTCCCTAATTAACCAATCCAAATGGTTTTTCGCGTCAGTAGGATCGAACACTAGCCACCTAAAAATAAAAATAAAATGATTTTTTTTTTATTATTGAGAAAGTTATTCACTACACGTTACAAAAACATTTGCATTTTCTCCGTAGGTAAGGTTTATTTTAGGAAATTTGAAAGACTGACTTCCTGTTAGTGAAAGGCCACAATGTCTACTTACCAGTTGTTCTTGTACGCTATGTTAGTATTCAGTGAAATTACTCTTAGTCCCGGCCGAACGGCCATCGAGAAATCGCCATGTTTACGCAGTGTGTTCTTCGCCTCTTCAGTCAAATAGCTACCCCATTTCCTAGCTAAGCTTTCGTATAGCCAAGTTGTGTTCAAGTATGCCTGTGTAATCCTTTGTGGAGCGAATCTGCGAAGGAAACGCGTATTTTAAAAAAATTACCCAACATTGTCTTGGACGAAGCGGAGGGTAGTTGTAGAATACCTACTGGTTTGTGGGTTGAGATTCATGGTTTCCTATAGCAGCTATAACTGGAACGTTATCGCCGAAGGTTTTTCTTAATTTGTCGACAAGATAGAGGTTCACTTCGTCTATCAATTCGTATGTCGTTTCCCACACGTGGTGGTCAATAGTATCACCCATGTAGTAAATTATGTCTATATCCTAAAATTTTATGGATTTGATGTATAACGTTATGTAGCAATTACAGATAGAAATTCTTAAGCTGCGTAAAAGGAGCTAAACTATTTCCTCTGCGTGTTATAAAGGCAGGGTTTGGTGTACCCAAAAACTTAAGAGTACCTAGATTTTTCCTACCTGATGAGTTGCATGCATTCTATCAATTACATCATCATATGCCCAAACTGGCGAATCACAATCCCGGTAATCTCCCCAGTAGCCCGCCGGAATATGATTTTCATTATTCTTATTGTTCTTTGTCAATTTTCTATTGTGTCTCAAAGTTTTTCCTGCATCGATATCAATTACCGGTTGTCCGTTTACTTCAGACAGACTTTTTAATACAACCTCTTCGTCGGTATCCTGGTTGTATGTGTATTTGAAATTTCTTGTGGTCTGTCCTTTTCTGCAGCAGACCGGTTCGGAGCAATCGGCAACACCGAAGGGTTCATACAGAGGGTCGATGTGAGCATCTGTTATTACAGCGACGGTAAGCGGTTTCGCGTTGTTGTATTTGACCTATGGTTGTTATAAAACGTAAGGAATACCATCTATTACATCATGCTGATTAAAATTCGATAAATTATTTACTTACTTAAAATGTGTTTAAACCGACCGCTGGCGATAAACATTGTTTTTTTTTGTTCATTGGCCATTCTGCCTTAATTTAAGTTCTTACGGCTCTGTGCAATACTCACCGGAGGAATCTCAACTATTGGCGGTAATTCTACTCTCCAATTAAACCTATCGTCGTTGAACCTACAGTTATCAGAATCATGTATAGATTGGAAAAATATGCCGCAAAATGTTCCAGGTTCCGCAGCTGGCGTTGTTCTTATTATGTAGTTTATTATTGGCTAAAATAGATAATTAAAAGATGTAATAATCTATACAAATATATAACGCTGCAAAAAAGTGTTTGAACGCTAATTCAGGAACTACAATTCGAAATGAATTATGTATAGAATGATTCCGCTTTTAAATTAAATTTTAAAATAGTTATTTCAACGTTTGTATTTCGTAAATAGTTACTTAGTACTTAAATGTTATCAGTTACACTTACCACATTAAGAAATACTGCTCCATGGCATACTTTTGGAGTTACAATAGATAATCTATTACAAATCAATGTAATTGAATCGACCAAACTCTTATCATTTGCTCCATTCCTAACGAGATCAGTTAAGGCCGCAAATACTGTCCGACATAATACACAAAAGAGATTCTGTAAAGAAAACCTATTTCATTAAGTCACATATCTTACTTATGATATAGTTTGTTAGTATTTGAGTGGATGTTTGTTCGTTATTTACGCCTAAACCGCTTTTTAGATTTTAATATTATTTTACTAAATGATAAACACTATTTCTTTTACAGAAAAAGGGTTGAAAAGAAATTCCCATTTAATTTTTTTCGGTATGTGGGAAGGCGTTTGGGCTTTAAATTTTTTTTATGTTTTGAGCTAAAACATCTCCATGAACTAGATCCCTCTTGTAACTGTTATGGCGCAAATGATTTTGATAATTAAACTAACCGATCTAGACGCAAAAAGTTTATCATAATTCACATTGTCCTTAGGTAAATACAAAATTTCAGTTAAATCTTCAATGACGCCCCAATCATTCTCGTTTAATTCATTTTTTCCCGCCCTCGTAAAAACGCTGGTCAGTTCGTCTGAAAACGACATAGTGTTATTATTAAAACGTAACGTGAAACAATGTTAACAGGGACCATATCGTAATATAATCATACCTGTTGATAAATATTTAGTTGCAACACAAGCACTTGTAACAATTAACACGATAAAAAACTCCTTCATCTTGTCTTGACTGTCTGCGTGAATGAGGGCTTATGCGTGATAAGAAGGCGTGCATCCTTTTTATATACGTCGATTGGATAAGAACAAACTAAACAGCTTGCTTGAATCATTTTTTTTACTACTAAGTAAGGTCCCAAGAATAACGCCGTACGAATGGCAAGATCTTTAATCCATCTTAGCGCCTTCACCCATGTCTCTAGCTTGATATAACTTAGAAATTCAAATAAAGTAACTCAAATTTACCTAGCGTTACGTTGTGTAGCAAGTGTGGCTTCTGGTTTAAATCCTGAGGATACAAAATTGTTTCGGTTCTGCATAGAAACAACGGCTTAATGTAACTACCTACTTGCTTAAAAAAACATGCTCGACCCATACCTTGTCAAAAATGATCCCCTTTAAAAATTAAATCACACGTGACATGTAAACAAAGCATTCCCTGAGCGTGTACGGCACGGTTATTGCACGTTTACATCGAAATATTTAATCACTGAAATCTCCAATTAATCAATCATAGTGTTACTGTTAATCACCATGATAATATAGTTATTTTGATTATTCTATCTAAAAATATGTAATAACAACTAATAGGGTTATATGATGAAATCAATATGGAATTCGAAATACAAGCGTCTTGCGCAAAAAAGTGGGTTTTAGTAGCACTACGTTGCTCCAGCGCGGTTTGTTTTAACTATAACAGCCAATAAATTATAAATAAAAAAGTATTGGTTATGACCGGGATTGATGGCTTAACTTGTCTCAGACAGTGAAAATAAAATAATGTAAAAGATTAATTTACTTTATTACCAACATATGGAAAAAATCTTAACTTTAAATTGAAATGTATAATAAAACAATAGTGTCCTACCGAGAAAGAATAAAAATTAATGTGTATAAAACACTCTGCAACTTAATCACGTGGAAAATGTTCACAAATTAAAAAAAATTAAACGAGGGTAGTTTTACAAATAAAAGTGATTTAAACAGTACACCACATAGAAGATGTACATAGCGATGACGGTAACTATAGAAATAGAATGTTAAGTTTTACAATTCAATGATAATCTAAGGGAGAATTCGTGAATGAATTCACACTTCAGTCATATCAACATCTTCAATGACCAAATCGTCAAGCATTTCGGCCAGCGTGATGCGCGGGAGTGTCGGATCGATATCGTCCGTATCAACGGGCACCTTGTTCTCGTCCTTAAATATATTGACGTTCTGTCGGAAGGCCGGGTCTTCTTCTAGGTCATCCAAGAAATCGTTGTAGTCCCTGCAAAGATTACATTGTTTAACAATAGTTTTACGTTAACAGGCGTCCATGTACGGTGGAGATTTGACTTTAAATAATGTCACGTTATAATAATTTTGACCGAAAATGGACTCCACAGCAAATTATATTTCAGAAAATATCTTACACCTGGTTTATTTTTTATTTTAGACCTTTATATAATCTTATCCTTCGAACGATATTTAGGATATTATCGAACCCTTAGAATTATGAATTTTTTCTCTTATTAATTCTATATTAGATAGATATTCTCTAAACGTATATTCGTCGTCACTGTTAATTGCATTAAACGCGATCGGTCGAATCAAAACCACGTAAGTTTAATTTGACATGCAGCATTATGAATGTGAAATTTAAGCAAAATAGCCTTCGTAGAATAATTTTTACACAAAAGCTTTCCTTGCTGAAAAGATTTCTAAATATTTCGCGTCAAATTGAGATTTAATTAAATACATATGATAATATAGATAAATGAGGTCTACACTTTTATTTAATACTACAGGTAAAGTCCAATATGTGCTGTCCAGCGCTATCTAATAATAATCCGTAATTAATACAAATCCAGATAATAAACACAAAGATAACATTACTTAATACAACGTATTATTATTAAAGAAGAATTCAGTGCGTTTCCATGTATACTTGATAAATATACTATATATTGATACTTGATTTATCTTTTGTAGTGTAATCTGGAAGTGATAATATTGATATAATATTAGCTGTGTCAGTGAAATACGTTATTTTGGGCCAAACGTTTTTGCAAACCCCTTCATTTTTATAAACTTAACCTGTTACCCACAACGTGGGTCGCGTCTCTTCCTGTCGTTCTAGCAAGTTAATCTTAAAAGATAGCTATATAGCGTTCGGACTGTTTTTTAGATCATTTAAAGGGAAATCATTCTTTTATACATATTTTTTGAATATCTTGAATCGTTTTTGCAGCGTACACCTCGGAAACCCATAATGTTGAATAATTTTCCCGTTTTTTTTTTTCATTTCTAGCTGTATCTTCACTTGAATTAGTCACAGGGCGATGTTTTATAGCCTTCCTCGATAAATACTCTAACCAAGACTAAACTTGCGTTTTTTTAAGCAAACTTTTATCTGTTTACACCTTTTCTAAATAAATAAAATATATATAATAAAATACGTAAATTAAGCTACTCGGGATGGACAGCTACACAGTACTACAGAAACTATTTTATACCCATATTTCCTTAGGAGTAGACCAGCGCTTAAAAGCTAGCATAATATTCAGACAGAGGGAATCTTTGTTTTTAACATTTGTATAAAACGAAACAAGTGAGTCAATGATAAGAATCAGCTATAAATCTTTCATGTTTTATGAAGGCAAGTGTAGTGCGATAATACGAGTAACCGGGAGGTAAATTAGTAATTGATTTTCATAGCTTATATTATTTTAAAAATATATTATAATTAATTATTTTATAGATAGGCATGTTCTACGAACAAGCGTTAGATAAATTCGCCTTAGATTTCTTATGCAAATGTATTATTTTTTATTCTATTTTATCCTATTATCCCGTTATATACTCTTTGATAATGGATTTCACGAAATAATTTTAAACAACAACTACATGTCTTCGTAACACTGAAAAGTATAAGAATGAACCACAACAGGTATGGATTAGGTCTATTTTACATGAATAGGTTATTGTATAAAAGAACCTGAGATAAACGGCGATAGTGGACATTGATCAACGACACGGTACCTTATTTGTCGTGTTCGTTTTTTTAAATCTTTCTAAAATATTGTTTCATAAGGAAACTTACTCATTGGATGAGCTCAAGCCCTCGTGTAACTCATCAGCCATGTGTTTGAGCTTCCAATTACGAGCGCGTCTACGTGCTGAGCGCTCGCCATAGTATTTCTTCACCAGAAACACGTCAGGAATTGAACCTCGGTCTAGCTTGTCCAAGTTATCGTCATTCACGTTCGAATCCCCTAGATTGTACCTAGAAGTTCAAATAATATAGTGCTTATGAAATGTTACATATTAAAGTTAAAATCAAAATAAAGATTTTTTTAAAATTTATTACATACTGAAAATGCTAAGTGTAAGTAGCATTAATTCTTTGACATATTTGACTAATATAATTTCCTGGGTGGAATTTTACAGCATCGAAGGAATGTTTTCTAGTTACAAACCCTAGAACAGTATCCCCGGGTTTCAGTATGTGTCCAAGATGAGTTCTTGTGTGCACAGGACTGACATCTAAGCCCAATTCACTTGCTCGAACAACCCACACATCAGCCACCACATGCTTATTTGATACCACACCCTGTCCAGGGAAAGATTTTTTCTCCTGCAAAAATAGATAGATCTGATAATTACTTGGATACTTTTGGTCCTTATAAGAATAATCTGATTATGACAAAATATTTTTTTTCTATATGCATTGTATTTTTTTATAGTAGCTAAGTCTCAAGACATATATGCTTCAAAACATTTTTCTGTTACATACATGCTCCTTTAAGATGTCAATATCCATAACAATGTATTCAACAAGTTGCTTCGGATTGCAGATTGGTGAAAAGGGATTTCGCCAATATACAGTTGAAGATATATCACATACTGAAAATAAAAATAAGTGTTTAACATTCTTTGCCTAAAAGATTTTTTTATCAAAGTAATCAATCTTAACTAAATAAACAATCTAAAATTAGCATTTCCTTATCAATGTTTTTGCATTATTGTCTGTACCCTCTAAAAGGGTACACAACACTACATTCTTAATTGTGATAAACTTACAGTGCTTAATTTAGATGTCCTTTTTAACATCCTTTTATAATTACATTTTTATTATTATACTAATACGTATGTCAGGACTATCATTAGTCTAGTACTCTAACGGATAGTACACTTAAATGCAGATAATATGAGGACCAGGTTTCAAATCTCGTGAAATGTTAGTTTGGTATTTAAACTTTTTTTAAAGATACTTAATCGTATGGTTGTAAAGCTGTTGCTTTCGATTATGATCATTAATTATTGTTAAGTCCATCTACCTGTACTAATATAATATTATACAGCCAAGCTGATCAAAACTTTAAAATCTTTTATGGGGAGGAGAGCTCACCAAAGGAAATCCACAAAGCTGATTATAGATAACATGAATAAGAAGAAAATACCTTGTCCAGAGTTAGCATCAATTAAATGTATTGTACTAGTAACTCTTTGCACTAGACATATGGGCGAAATTGCGCCTAATTGATGTGTCAACTTTTTTGGAAGGCAAACCACACTGTCCTTGGATAGAGGTACAATTTCTATGCTAAATGTGAATTTGTAGTTGTAGACATTACTGTGAATATCATGAGAAATTAGCTTCTTTGAGTGTTGACACTTTATTGGAAGCACTGATTGAATGAAATCAACCATTTTACGGGCATGATTTTCTGATGCGTAGAAAAAGTCTAAACCATCTGTAAAAGATATAAAACACAATATTTTAATAGAAGTAAAAGTTATATTTAAAATTAAAAACAGCCTAGACCATAGGCAAAGTTATTTTAGAGCATTATGTTATCATTGACTTTTCCATCAAAATACTTTAATCTAAGCTGTCAAATGCAAATTAAAAAGATTAACTTTTTGGTAACATAACCAAAATCTCACCATGTTTAGGCTTAATTCCAAGTGTATTAGAATGAGCTTTGTGCTTCAAAATTAGCTGTTCCAAATAATAAAATGTTTTCCTGTTATTTGCCCTCTGTCTAACTTGAACTAAAGCACGCCAGTAATCCTGAGCTTCAGAGCGGTGGCAAGCATCACACATCTGATGTTGGACGACATACTCAACAACAAATGTTTGTTGTAACACAGCTCCCCCCCATAACTTCCCCTTGGACTGTCAATTTGACCTGTTCAAATTTAAAAAAATATGAATACTTCATAAGGATACATAAAATATATAAATATTAGTATATAATTTAATTTCCTAGATCTATCTTATTTTGCAACCAATGTATTAATAAATAAAGTTATAAAAAGCAATACAACCTACTTACTTACTACTTAAGTAAGAATATGAAGAAATCACCTTTATTCTCTTAGAATGGGGTTCGGTCCAAGCAAAGCCAGCATCAATGAGTTTTACTCTACTTAAACCTTTTAATCTTTTAAGGCAAAGAGCTAAAAGTTCTCTTGATTCCAATGCACACACTACCCACTCAGCTGGTGGCTGTAGATATCTGTAAATTATATTAAGCATAATAAAAACTTATACAGCTGCATAAAAATCATATAATAATCGTCACACTGTACCTTTCACAACCTCTACAAAAAAAGAGATTAGCTTGTTTTGGAATGCCATCTGTTATATCTATATGAGCTCTTAAACAAGCTACACACATATTAGAAGGGTTTGCTTCTATCGGCACAGCGCATTGACAACATAATCTACAAAAAAGTAATAAATAAGTCAAATATTAACTTTATAACCTAGCATTGTTTAAGTTTTTTTACGCTCACATTCTCGTGCCTGTGGCAAGGCCTGTATCTTCTGGAGATATATACTCCATTGTAGCCTTCGACTTATTTTATTGAAAAATAACTGTATTTCGGTTTGAAACAATAATCACAATACTTTATTAATAACCCATGCGTTACTGCTTACAGACTCTAGAGTCTAGCAGCCTAGGGCACAAATGACAAATGAACGAAGTTCACAGCTGACTTATTATGACAATTGGCAACATTCTTATTATATATGTACAATATCTGTAAGTCGATGGAAGCTAATGCGAACGATTTTAATTGTTTTTTTTTATATTTAAAATTTGGGTCCGATAACATGATTAAACATAAGTCATGACCCCGACGTTCATTAAAAAATAATATGTAAAATTTACAACAGATACAGTATAGTATATGCACAGATAACTTTTCTCTACTCTCTATATCACACTATCATCTATTTCCGTTGTCTATTCCTCTTACGTAAACCCTGCACGGCACCTCTCATTTTTAAAAGAGGAATATTAAAGTACTTTACATTCCTACGAATTCATTCGAATATTAAAATGTTTTCTACCGTTGGTAGAGCTGGTCTGTTGGCCACAAAAGCGGTAGTAAATAATACTCTAGCCGAGAAGACTCCTCTTATTGCCGGTGCCCTCGTTAATAAGCGTGATTATGCTGCCAAAGCTGCTGGTAAGGGGCAAGGTAAGGTGGTTGCAGTCATTGGTGCCGTCGTAGACGTACAATTCGAAGATAATCTACCTCCCATTCTCAATGCCTTGGAAGTACAGAACCGTTCGCCCAGGCTTGTCCTTGAGGTGGCGCAACACTTGGGAGAGAACACGGTGCGCACCATCGCCATGGACGGTACAGAAGGTTTGGTTCGTGGTCAGCCCGTACACGACTCCGGCTCTCCAATCCGTATTCCAGTAGGAGCGGAGACGTTGGGCCGCATCATCAACGTAATCGGTGAGCCCATCGACGAGCGCGGTCCCATCCCCACCGACAAAACCGCCGCTATTCACGCCGAAGCGCCCGAGTTTGTCGACATGTCTGTACAGCAAGAGATTCTTGTCACTGGAATCAAAGTGGTAGACTTACTAGCCCCCTATGCAAAGGGAGGAAAGATTGGTCTTTTTGGTGGAGCCGGTGTGGGCAAGACTGTACTTATCATGGAGCTGATTAACAATGTAGCTAAAGCCCACGGTGGTTACTCAGTATTTGCTGGTGTCGGAGAGCGTACACGTGAAGGTAACGACTTGTACCACGAGATGATTGAGTCAGGTGTTATTTCTCTTAAAGATAAGACATCCAAGGTGGCCCTAGTGTACGGTCAGATGAATGAGCCTCCAGGTGCCCGTGCCCGTGTTGCTCTAACAGGTTTGACTGTTGCTGAATACTTCCGAGACCAAGAAGGCCAAGATGTGCTACTTTTCATTGACAACATTTTCCGTTTCACCCAGGCTGGTTCTGAGGTGTCTGCCCTGTTGGGTCGTATTCCATCTGCTGTAGGTTACCAGCCTACTCTGGCCACTGACATGGGTACTATGCAGGAACGTATTACCACCACAAAGAAGGGTTCCATTACATCTGTACAAGCTATCTACGTGCCTGCTGATGATTTAACTGACCCTGCCCCTGCCACTACCTTTGCTCACTTGGATGCCACCACTGTACTGTCACGTGCTATTGCTGAGCTCGGTATCTACCCAGCTGTAGACCCTCTCGACTCCACCTCACGTATTATGGACCCCAACATTATTGGTGCTGAGCATTACAACATTGCTCGTGGCGTTCAGAAAATTCTCCAAGATTACAAGTCACTCCAAGATATTATTGCTATTTTGGGTATGGACGAGTTATCTGAAGAAGACAAGCTGACTGTAGCACGAGCACGTAAAATTCAGCGATTCCTGTCCCAGCCTTTCCAAGTGGCAGAAGTTTTCACAGGACACCCTGGTAAACTGGTTCCCCTAGAAGAAACTATCAAAGGGTTCTCTAAGATATTGCAAGGAGAATATGACCACCTTCCAGAAGTTGCATTTTACATGGTTGGACCTATCGAAGAAGTTGTTGCCAAGGCAGAAACTTTAGCCAAGAATGCCTAAACTTGATTAACGTTATCAAACAATAAATGTATAACTTTAATACCCTTTTTCAAAATCACATTATTTATTGGATAAATCATAAAACGAATATTATAATCTGCTGGTAAACGAAAGTCACATTTATTGTTATGACTGGTTTTTAGTAATACGAGAAATAATAGGTAAATAAACCAATTTGATAATCAATTTTTGTTTCCTTTTATGAAATATCTCTTTAAGTAGGTGGCATAATATAGTTGAAATTAATAACAAGGGCGAAAATCTACCTTTCATTACCGTATTCTGTGGAGATACGGTTTATTATACATAATCTGAATATCTACTTGGCTTTAAATAAAATTTAACTTATTACGTTACATCCTGTTATATAGTGACTAACTACGACAGCGACTTCGCTCGCTTAGTATAGTTATTTTGGGCATCAAAATTTGTTTTTGCAAACCAATTCTATAAATTTAAGCTGTTAACCACGACTTCGTCCTTGCAAGGGTACCTATCTGTGACCGTGTTCGCAGGTATGCATCGGAAACCGTTTTTTCTCCAATTAGTCACAGTGCCATATTTTATAGCCTTCCTCGACAAATTCTCTAACCAAGACAGAATTTATCGATTCGACCCAGTAGTTCCTGAAGTTAGCGCGATCAAACAAACTAATCTGCTTTATATACAAGTATAAATTAATTCGGTCGATAAGGTAAATAAAGAGCCTTGTTGAATTTTGACAGGTGGCAAGTTAGATAAGAGAGAGAAATAATTTTCTTATATTCGTAATATTAAACCAAAATGTTTAAACATAGAAATTATAAACATTTGTAAAGTAGGCATTCGAAATTTCATTTTCGAGATACATACGTCAGCCATGTGACATATCTTCAACAATATAGTGACATAACAAGTCAAAAACCATGAAGATTTTGTTAAATCTATATAAAATAAATGTTAGTAAGCTATCACTTTTTTAACTAATATATATCGCGTTTTAAACCGTTAAAGTGATTAATTTAAATGTGTACTCCTCACGTAAACTACAGACAGTTTAAAGTCTATTTAAGACAATGAAAACAAATGTTACGGTTTCCTTAAAGATTTAATTTTTTTTATCGCTTTCCTCCAATGCGAGTTGTTGGTTTTTGTGTGGCTTTAGCAGCCTTACCCTTAGGAGGAGCTTTAACTTTTGTAGGTGGTGCAGTTGCTTTCTTGGCAGCTTTAGTGGACTTCTTGGCCTCCTTTGCAGCTCTAAAAGAATAATAAATTAATTATATGTTTGTATATCAAAACTTATAGTTATTAACTAGGGGTAGGTGGTGCTAGAGAGGATTTTGCAATAAAAGGCAATTCTATGATAATGCTCTATTAACATATTATTCAAGTTATTTAATGTAAAAATTAAATAATGCTTTTGCCAAGTAAGTTATGTATAATAATTGAAACTGCACAAACAGGAGGCTTTTAAATCTTGGCACACAAAATATCTTTAAAAAACACTTACTTGATAGCCTGTTCCCTTTGAGCTTTCCTTACTTCTGGCTTCATGTTTCTCTTGGCCATAATGTCACTCAATGAAGCCCCAACAATTGCCCTTTGGAACTTTTGGGTTCTACGTGTACGTTTCTTGGCCTGTTCTTCTTCCTGGCCCTTTTTGAATTTACGTCTGCAATGTAACAAGCATTTAATTTGGTAGTAAAGTAGCTGGATGGTGGCAGTAAAATGAAAATATTTTTTCTTGAGTAGACTTAACTTACATATTCCTTCTTACTTGGTAAATAATGACTACTAATTATTTACAAGTAAGGCATTAATTAGTTAACATAGTGCAAAAAGAACAAATTAGAAGTTAGAAATTAATTGCAACACATACCTGTACAATACAGTCCATGTTACTTTACGGGGATTTCTCCTCATTAAATGCGCAGCTTCACATTTTGAGTTTAAAAATGTGAAAGACTGAAAATAAAGTTTTTGCAAAATCTTATATCATGTACACGTAATGTTACTTGAACAAACAATAATAAAATAATTTATTATTATACTGAAAATCAGCAAATTTTTGAGGTTAATTGTATTTACAAGCTACATACAAAGTAATCTAAAGAATGATAAAAACCTCAAAAAAATTAATTTAAAAAAGACAATGTAACTTAGAACAAGGATAAGAATTAGTCAAATATTATACCTTGCCATCTACCTTAACCATGGTTTTACCATGGCCAGGATAAATCTTGTAACCACTGTAAGCGCAAAGGCCGATCCTGGAAATAAAACAACCATTATGCAGACAACACCAATCACTTGGAATTTCACAGTTATATTATATATTTCATTTAAGGATTAAACACATTTAATCAAATTTAATTCATGAAATAGACGTACTTCATTTTGACTTCTTTGAGGAAAGAAAGAGACAGAAAACAAACATCGGTAACCTATATGTCAAAAACGCTTTTGTGCTCAATGCCAATTCACAAATCAGTCAAATGTCACTCTAAAATTTGTACAATCCATAGTCTATACCATTGCCACAGAGAACAACGAGATAACTACAAAACAAATTTTATTTATGATAAAATGAGAAATCATCAAAGTTTATCAACAATTTAAGGTGAAAGCTCAAGATAGAAGAAATATTTTTTATACAACACTATATTTTCGGTCGACTCAAAGTAATTATAATACCAATAATGGAATTAAAGGAACCTTATAATCGTAGAATAAAAACGATCAATTAGTGATTCAGTATTTCTAATCTAATTACCTTCTATTTTTTTACCTATAAAAAAAAACAGTTTACTTCTATTATAGTCTAGATATATATATTTTTATAACATAGTCCGTGACCGCCTATTTTTTATGCCACAGGCTTACAATCACGGCTCGTATGTATCTGTGATAATAAAAATAACCTCAATAATTTTTGTTAACCGTAGTAACTTTTAAAAACTTTTATTGTTTTCTAACTCCAAGTTTTCTACGCTTTCAGTATCTAACGAACTATATGAAATGATTTGTCCCGATTTCTTAGAATTCCAGGTTAGCATATTTATAACAAATAAATTTGTATAGTGGTTCATATTTTCGTTATTTAACAATTATGTTGAATAAAATATTTTTTGTCAGGACATCTTAAAGAAAATGCGTATTCTGGATGATAAAATTGTATATGCCTTAAATACGACAATACCTACTGAGTCATTTCAAAAGAAAATAGATGCCACTTCAGCCTGTCATGATCTGTATGAACAAATTCAAAAGGGGCACAGTGAAAGAGAAAATGTGATAAAAAATTGCATATTGGTGACCGCTGATACGGTTAAAGATCTAAAAGCTGCCAAAGAACAGAAGCCTGATGATATTGAAGTTTTAAAATCTTTAAAGACTGAACAAAGAAAGGTACCTGAATCTATATTACTTTTACAAAAAAGCAGTTGCAATACATTGGTAAGAATAAAGCTTGGATATCAAAGATCGAATCTAAAATCACAATTTGATAAAAATTACTATTAACAACATTTAAGGACGCATTAATATTACATCATTACATAATTGTAATATTGCTTCATTTTTAAGGGTAATGCCGATTGTCCTCAATCTTGGACAGAACATGTATTCAATAAATTTATTATTACTTTTAGCATTATGATAAAGAGTATTTTTTATTTTTACTAATTTATTATATTTACAAGCATGTAGGTACATACATTTTATTGGATCATTTTAAGATAGGACTTATTACACTGAACAGATGTATTTGTTGCGATTTTGCACCAATATTTAGCAACCAGCTACTAGTCAAGTCAGTCAGTTGTCAGCTACAAGTACTAAATTGAATATAATAGCATGTTTTCCTGTTACACTTCAACTGATTATTTCCTCATATTTATTTCAGTTACGTCTTCTGCAAACTGAACTTAGTGTTGAGGAAGTTATTAAGGAAAAGACTAGCAAGTTATTCACAGAAAAATGTAGAAACTATTTTAAGCCAAGTAATTAATTAAGACTGAAATATTATGGAATGTATGCATTGTACTGTAAATATGTTATAGTTATTAGAATCCGAGAAAGGTTTACCTTATATTTAAAAATGTTTTTTATTTTAATGACATATCAGGAATACTGTACCTTGACGTTGGGAGTCCTATCTCTAGATTTAAGAGTTTACAATCATTATCAATGATTTTTATTGACAGTCATTGTCAAATAAAAAGTTAAATTCATCATTCTGATAAGACTCCTATTCCATTAAGGCTAAGAGCCAAGTCATGCTCATAAGAAAATTTAGCAATGTTTAGTATTGTTATACATTTATTTTGCATAGCTTTTTTATAAATATACATATCATTTGAATTAGAAACTTCATTTGTAACCTAAAAGTATTTTATACAAATCTATAAGTATAATAAGCGTTTTTTAAAAGAAAAATTCACCTATATGCTAAGCAAGCAAGTGTATCAATTATCACTTTTGATTTGCTGTTTCTTTCTTCTTAAACTCTTCTTGATATTGTTTGTGCCAATCTAAATTCATTTGTTGGACAGATTCACCTCTCTTAGCAGCATTCTTACCTGACCATATTGCATAGGCGCTGCCAAGAACAGTGAGTGCCATGAGTATATTGGATAATTTAATTCTCGCTTGGCTGCGTGCTCTATCAATAACTTCTGAACTAAAAAAAACAATAAATATTAGGATTCCTATAAGAATATAGACATCGAATATTGGGATTGAGTATTATAGAGTCTACTACACGATCCATACCATCCGATAGTATGGTTATTATCTATTACAAAAACTTACGTTACGTATTTCGGAATATCATCTTTCGATTTAAATTTTTTTTGTCCAAACCAGGATAAACTTCTGAAACTCGGTAGGCTTGTATCTTGATGAAAGTGACCCAATATTAACATCGTTTTTAGATTCTTGTGCTGGTGTACATAAGCATCTTCTAATAATAGAAATCGAAGTCTTCACACGGGATAACTTTTCCATAGTGTATTTACACTTTTGAGTTTTATTATAAGGTTTATTGCGCAATGAAATAAAAAACAATACTCCACAGAGTACAGACTAGTGGTCTAGACCAAGATTACTCATCACATTACACTGGCCAAACACTGTCTAAGTCAAAGAATATTATACTCTAGTCTAAGTGATAAGGTTTGCCAAGTTTCAACGTCCACCATCTTAACTTGATAGTGAGAGTGACATTGACAGAATCCCTATGAATCGAAAAGAATTTAAATAATAAATTTGAATAGACATTATTACGACAATTACAGGTAATAACATTTCAGTCTTGCTAGACGATTTTTTTTAATGACTATTATGTATTGAGCCCTGAGGGGGCCTCGAATACTAACCGGGCGTTTGGGTTTGCGGCTAAACCAACGGTTCCCCGAGGGGGGGTTAATAGACGTAAACGTCTGCCGACTTAAAGGAATTTTATATTCTTATCTGGCAACACTATGTCATAAATGGTGTGTCATATTTAAGTTTAATATACTTCGTACTCGAGAATTAAAATTGTATATTTACATTTCAGACATTTAGTGATAGATGGTGCATTAGTTTCTGTAATAATAATTTGAATTGAAACATTTAAATGTAAGTAATTGTATTGCAACATTACACGCAAAATGTGCCTTAAGATTGAAATATTGCGGGATAGTATTCCATTACGATAATTGTATGTCAAACAATGTGCCATAAATATGTTAGAAAAGTAGTGTTTGTGTATATCTTGAGAGTTAACTGTAAATCATATTATTCAAAGCATTTTGCCGAAATAAGGATACATAATATATATAGAGTGTAGTAGTAATTGTTACGGTTATGTAGGTGTTGGTTCCAAGTGTCAAATTTTATTAATATTGAAGGTATATTAAATTCCATACATAATAATACATATTATGTATGTATGTCAACCAAATAATAAAGATTTTAATGCTTTCTTTTCTTTTTTCAGTTATCAATTGCATTTAATCAATGTTTTTTAGTCTTAATACAAAAATAACAACAGAATTGCTTGGTTAGGAAGACAAAATATAATAATGAAACTGATATGTTGTCAAAGACTATCATTTAAATTGGCCTAGACAGCTTTATTTATCAATATTGAGTATCATTCCTATATGAATGATATTACTTTCCTTTAAATGCATTTAGATGTCTGGGTGCCATAAGCATCGCTACAAGAATGCTGGCCTCAGTGCTGATGAGCTAAGGCGCAGACGTGAAGAGGAAGGTGTCCAGCTTCGGAAGCAGAAGAGGGAACAACAACTTCTCAAGAGGAGGAATGTTAATCTTCCTGCTCCAAATGCACCTGATGTTTCTTTAAGGTTACAGGCAAATAAAGAATATATAATGAAGGAGTTATGCCAGGATTAAGTAATTTCCTAGGTGTTAAGGAAATCTCTATAAATTTATATGTTTACGTAATAACTTCCAATTAGCTTTTAGAATACATGATAAATATAATGCTTATCTTTTTTTATATTCCTTATTTGAAGGTTTATTTTTACAGGATGATGTAAATGTTTCTCCATCTGAGGACATTACTCCGCAAATGGTAGCTGCTCTCTATGGTGACAACCCTAATGAACAAGTGATAGCAACACAGACTTTTAGAAAGCTGTTAAGCCGAGAGCCCAGTCCTCCTATAGATGAAGTCATAAGAACTGGGATTGTTCCTAAATTTGTTGAATTTCTTGTTAATAGTACTAATCCTACATTGCAGGTATGTCTTTTCTTTATAGTTTATTAACTTAAATCTAATTAAGCCATGGCAGCTGTAATTTATAAAAGAATGTTTATTCAATTTTACAATCAACATATACAAATATATGATATATATTTTTTTGTTGTTTTGTTTTGTGACAATAAAGAATATTTGTATTTAAAAAAAAAAAGATAAAGATGTGTATAAACACAGTTTTTTAGATGTTTTATAAGATGCTAAAATAATATTTGTAAAATTAATATTTCAACTAAGTGTATCTGTATGAGTGTTTTGCCTTCATATTATTGCTATAGCATAATTATTTTGCAAACACCACATCAGTCGGTACATTACTTTAATAAAAACAATATTCCTATTGTTTTATATAATGCAAATAAATAATGTTTCAGTTTGAAGCAGCATGGGCCTTGACAAATATTGCATCTGGTTCATCCGAGCAAACCAGGGTAGTGGTGGAGTGTGGTGCAGTACCTGTGTTAGTGGGACTATTGAGTTCTGGTGCTAGCGACGATGTTCGAGAGCAAGCTTTGTGGGCTTTAGGCAATGTAGCTGGTGATTCACCGAGATGTCGTGATACGGTACTTGCAGCTGGCCTGTTACCACCTTTGCTAGAGTGAGTTACCACAAACTTATGAGATTAAATATGCTGTTTAGCTAATTCAATGTGGTCTTCTTTAGATTTCAACTCAAAATTCACAACAAAGCTTGATCAAAAGTACAATCTGACATAAGGAATTTGAATCTTTCAATATTTGTTTAATAAAGTTTTATGCTTTAACAATACTGATTGAAATTTGTTATGTATGATATTAAGTTTCATATTATTTCTTGTATGTTGACTACAGTGCATACTACTTCAATTTTGTTTTTTCAGAATATTAAATAAGTACTCACGACTGTCTATGACTAAAAATGCAGTGTGGACCCTATCCAACCTGTGTAGAGGCAAGAATCCACCAACTAACTTTGAAGCCGTTGCACCAGGTTGGTGGTAGTTTGATGAATTTATATTAAATACTGTCTATAGTTTACGCGGGTAGTACACATTTAAATAAAACACTTTAAGGGTTTAAAACGTTAAATATTAGTTAAATTTATTTGAAAATGATTTTTAACTTTGACCCGATGTTTCGGATGCCCCGGGGGACCCCCTACCAAAAATTTTCAAATAAGTTTACTATTATATCGCGTTTTAAACTGTTAGTGTTTTATTTGAATTTATATTATTAAATACAAAAACGTAGTTTTCACAATTTCGTGGGTGAAAAAAATGTTGATTCATACTCTCACAATGGGCTTCATAATTTGCACATTCTAATAGTGTTTTGTGTCCTTTGTGTATAATGTTTTGATCTGTTTACTTCTCTATTGTCCTTGGGTAAAAGACAGACACAGTTAATTTAGTTTTTTGTAAAATTGACATTATTTTGTCGATTTAATTTAAGAACCTGACCAGTCTGTGTCACCAAAAAGAATGTCTTTAGCCCTGGGATTCAAAGACTGGCCCTCTTCCATTTACTGCAACAATTAGAATAAGCCTTACACAAACAAAAGCTTTTAGATGCATTGGAAAGCGATTGACGCAGGCGAGATGGTAACCCAGGTCCAACAGCGTACTGTTACATTTACTAATTAAAATCCACTATTACTAGGTATACCAGTATTAGCTCGACTCTTGCACCATACTGATGCCGAGGTGCTGAGCGACGCTTGTTGGGCGTTGTCTTACTTGTCGGATGGGCCAAACGAGAAGATACAGGCGGTCATCGATGCCGGCGTATGCAGGAGGCTTGTTGAGTTATTGATGTATGTACTATAAAAATTATAATTGTTTTTTATAACTGACGAGGACAAAGAAAGGTCACAGTACTTGGGAGGTCAAAATTTCTTTAACCATCTATCAAGGCACTGTCAACAGAAAATCTACAGACTACTACTGACTGCTTTTGTTGCATAGTGGTTTGTGACCTTAAGGGGAATTTCAACATTCCGACCTAGCTCTTTAATAGAGATTCCTTCCTAGCACTGGCCCAATATATATATAAATATATATAGGGATTATTGTTTGAACGCATTGAATTACTTTAATTAATTAAATGTTTAATTATTACTAATATTATAAATGCGAAAGTAACTCTGTCTGTCTGTCTGTTACTCTTTCACGCAAAAAATACTGAACGGATTTGAATGAAATTTGGTACACATATGGTCTAGACCCTGAGAAAGAACATAACGAAAAGAAATTTTATTGCGAAAAGAGGATTTGAAGGGGTTGAAAGGGGGTGAAAGTTTGAATGGAGATTCGTGGTTTTTGAAGAATAGGAGTGGGAGTGAGTAGGAGTGATGTGAGGTGCGATAAATGCGCAATTACATAAATTAATAAACAGCCTAAATAATTAAAAATCCTACCCCAAGTCACTATCCCACGGTACAGCTAGTAATATATGTATAGAAGTGATTAGTCATATTTGGACCTTTAGACTATCACTGAAAACAATCAATGATAACATTGTTTTGTATTTGATAAGAGGAAAAGTAAAATAATTTATGTGCTTACAATTTATATAAATTTATCAATTATCATTTATATATATCTATGAAAATTATGACCAACTCATATTAGCATAAATCTATCATAAATATTGCCATCTTTCAACACTTGTGTTAATAATTAATGATGTCAATTTCATGAAATACGTTACTCCATCACGTTACTGAGACTGGTCTGCATTGGACACCATGGTTATTTCGAAGGTGTGCCATGTTGGCATGCCGTTTCAAAAACCAAGTTAAGGTTAATCAATTGGCAAAACTGCATAGAAAGGCGAAACGGGTTCATACAGACGGATTAAAGTCTACTAACATTTTTTTTTATTATTTTACCATTTTCATATCACCGAAACATTTTTTGCTAACTTTATTATATTTACAAATACATTGAAATCATTTTTAATTTAAATACTCTTATACGGCTTAGGCACAACAAGTTCACCGTGGTTTCGGCGGCACTGCGCGCTGTTGGTAATGTCGTGACAGGAAGCGATGCGCAGACGCAGGCAGTGCTGAATTGTAACCCGTTGCCGAGCCTGCACGCGCTGTTAAAATCCAGCACCGAAACGCATAGGAAGGAAGCCTGCTGGGCGCTCTCTAACATCACTGCGGGCAACGCTCATCAAATACAGGTTTGTTTTTCAATAGTATTAAAGAGGTTTCTCTAGTGTAGTGAAGCCGATATTCCTCTAATCACAAAACTTTTGGACCTTTAAATAAATGTTATAAAAATATATATTTATTAACAGGCTGTGATAGACGCGAATATATTCCCGTCCCTAATAGACATATTGAGGCATGCAGAGTTCAAAACGAGAAAGGAAGCAGCGTGGGCAATCACCAACGCGACTAGCGGAGGAACGAATGCGCAGATCAGGTTTGCGTTTTGCTATTAGGATCGTAGGGTTGTTGAATTAAAACACTTGTTAAACAAAGTTGTTAAACCTATACCTAAGCTACTACAAAGCGCAAAATTTGATTCGGATATATTTTAATACGAAAAGCGCATTGTATTACCGACCTAAATGATACTAGACTTACTAGAGCTCCCGTTTCCTCTATTGTTTTATTTTTTGTTAGAGAGAACATATTATATAGTTGACCTATATAACGTCTAAACAAGGTGCGCTGTTGACCTGTTTAGGCTTTGAATTTTTGGAATATCAATAAGATGCATACCTTTTAACGCTAGTTTTTATTTGTAGATTTGATATGGCAGTCTGTAGAATACTAAATATTTGATGACAATCTTTATATAACTTTCTATTTTTCTTTTCAGTTATTTAGTGGATCAAGGCTGTATTCCACCTCTCTGCGATTTGCTCACGCTGACGGAATCTAAAACTGTTCAAGTAGCCCTCAATGGACTCGAAAATATACTCAAAGCTGGACAACAAACAGACCTTCCCAACAACCCGTATGCTGTCCTCATCGAAGAATGCTTCGGTTTGTCATCTCATTAACTCTCATTTAATTTGGTTATACAAATGTTTCACTTTAGCCCTTAAATCACACAACCTATATAAATGGGTGACATGTGATGCTTAAATTGTATGTATAAGTGTTAAGCGTTGATATACAAATTTTACCATGGAATAGGAAGCTTTACTTCCTTAGGAAGAAAGGAATTTTTAAGAAATGAAATATTGCGTAGCTATCAAAAGAAAGCACATCATGTAATTTAAAAGTGTCTTTATACACTAAAAAATATTTTTAGTCCAGTCAAATTAACCTTTGAATCCTTAAGTAATTTCCATAGAGCTAATTGGTATGAATGTTCAGATACTGAAAGAAACAAATTATATAAAGTACTCTCATGCATTTTTTTTAATTTATGGTTTATTGTTATAGTATTTTGATTATTCATTCACAGAATCACCAATCGATTACAATTTAATAGTAAGAGTAGTGTATATATAATGTGTATTTTGAGTAAGTTAACTTTACTTAAAGAATATGTTCATGTTACAGGTCTAGACAAAATAGAATTCTTGCAATCGCACGAGAATCTCGATATTTACCAGAAATCTTTCGAAATTATTGAGAACTACTTTGGGTCCGAGAACGAAGACAGTCGGCTGGCGCCTGAAGTGTCTTCTACGACAGATCAGTTCAACTTTACGGCAGACCAGGCTGTGCCCATGGGCGGATATCAGTTCTAATCTATGCTTACTCTATAGCGTTACATATATGTACTACAGTGCAGTAAGTTCAAATATTTCATGAGTTACTTTGGTAACTAAGACCTAATTGATTCAGTTGATCTTTAAACCGATGAGATCGAATTATTAAAATTTAATGTACAAATACTAAATGTAAATGAATTTCAAAATCTAACTAAATGTAGTGACATTACTACATTTTGGTTAATTGGGTCAGAGTCTTAACAACATACATTGCTTAGTTTCATTATTTTAAAATGATCATTAAAATAAGTAGTGCTGTAGTTTTTGTTTCCTCGGTTAGTGGGCTCAGGTTTATAATTGCACTGGAGAGTTTTTAAGACCCCTAACCCATTATGCTGCTTAAGTGTGGGTTGATGGGCTTGATTGTAGGATGCAAAAATCTAACAAAATTGTAAACATGTGAATATAGCATTTTTTTTTGTTTCAGATGCCTAATGAGACATCTTATTGCTTCCGCAATTTGAACTACACACCTGTGTAACAATACTATATTTTGCACCTATCATTCATGTAGTTATAGATTTTGTTTGTATTTGGGCACCATTCGCCTGATATTCTATTTGCAACTGTAGATACTTTCTATCTAGGTAAATTTTTTTGTTGTATAAAGTATGTATTTTTTTGTTGGCCATGCCATTCTGCTTTATTTGTACTAAAATTTTTAACATTACTATGTGATAAATAACAATAATATTCGTTATGGGTATATTTAAAAGAACAGAACCAACTTTTTAGTTAATATTTGCTTCGATTTCTTAACGAATTATAAATCCGTTAAATAAATATATAAAATATTCTGACACGTCGTTTTGCAATCACTATATGTATTATACTAATAAAAGACGTGCAGTTAAAGTATTGGTTTTACTCTATTTTGAAAAAATTTTAGTATAGCCATATTCACATAATAACTTTATATAACTAAGCTTCAGTTTTATTTTATGTTGTGGTCGAATATGGGAGGAATAAAAAGGACAATAACAGTAATATAACAAATGTATTTATAAAGTTGAATTGAACAAGGAATTCTTAATTTATCTCTAAAATCTCAATCCCATATCGCTCATGTGTGTTATTATTTTTAAAATAATATGTTCTTGGTGAAGGTTGTCCCAAAAAGCCATACGTTTGCGAAATGGATTTCTGCCTTTAGTTAAATCAGAACCTATACTTAAAAAGTTTAATTTCTTTTCGCTTTCTACTGGGTCCCAGGTTATCTGTAAGAGTTCATCGTCATCATTTGGTGTTGGATTCCTGCAACATTTTTAATTTAAAAATTTCAAATATCTTATAAGTTGTATTATAGTGAATGATTAATAAATAAAACATACCCATATTTTGCAAAATTTGTCCACATCTTAACAAATCTATCCCGAGTTGTTAAGGAATCACAACTACCTTTATAGAACTTTGAGTCTTTAGCCTTAATTTGGAATATAAATGGTACTTCTGCAGCGTGGCCTATAGAATTGAAAAAGCCTAGTTCTTTAGGTACAAACCATTCTCCAGCGTAATATAAAACATAATAATATATTGGGCAATCAGGAGCAACTTGGCTATGTATTTGAACGGTTTTGTTAACATAGTATAAAAAGTAGTAATCAGTTAAAAATTGCAAGTATTGCACTCTTGTGTGCTCATTTAATCCTTCTGCACTGTTGAAATAGAACGACAGTATTTGCTGGCCAATTTTTTTCAAACTATCACTGTTAACATTTGCAAGTGACTTTGGCACTAAAAGCCGTATGTTCTCATTGTATTTTTCATAGTCCTCATAAAAGTTATCCTTAATAAATTGAAACACGAAAGCCTCTACATTGTTGCTACCTATCATAATAGGAACCTTATTAAAATTACCCGATTTTAGTATTATAGCTGGGCTTTTGCACAGAAAAACAGGTTGACCTTCAAACTCGCTTTCTATGCAAGGCTTAAATACTGAATCAAATACATCATTATCCCACTTGTATTTGTTTATAAACCATGTAGTGTATGTTTCCATTAGATATTGAGCAGGTAGTTTTCTCATTTCTTCGACAATTTCAAATTTGTCACTTTTCTCAATACCTAAAAATTTTGCAAAATTCATAACAGCTTCCGTAGGATTTTTTTGTTAGGGACCATCCGTTTAGAGCGCTAGAACTTTGTATGATTGCTTTATGAAATAAACCAACAGCCAATGGTGAGAGTATCATCAGATGTATAATGGCACCTCCGGTGCTGCTTCCAAATGCTGTTACATTATTAGGGTCCCCTCCAAATTTACTTATATTATTCTGAATCCATTTTAAGGCTAAAATGAGATCCTTTAGTCCAACATTGCCCGGTGCTGTAAATTCATTTATGGATAGAAAGCCAAAAGGCCCCAAACGAAACCCACATCTTACAAAAACTATATCTCCATTATTTAGTGGAGTTGGATCTAGAATATGATCAATATAAAATGTAAAATTGCAGCTTCCAATCCAAAACATGACTGGCAATGGTTTGTTAGGTTTTATGTTTGGAGAGGAAACCTCCAAGTACAAGCAATCCTCGGACCCTTGAACTTCTTGATCCACATATATTGACAGAGGTAAAGGTGCATCTTTTGTACAATCAAGTGTGTTTTTCCAGGGTTTAATTGGTATTGGAGGCTGCAATGAATTACAAGTGAGTATCTAATAATATGTTAATTTTTGACAAATAATAAGTTATTATTTTTAGTATCAAAGAAATATTTTTATAATAAGAATGAGAATCAAATCATAACTGAATAAACATTACCATAAATCTAAGCTTGTCCAAGGGTGGCTCAGCATATGGAATGCCTTTAAATTTATAATAAACTCCTTCATCCCGTTTATCAATGTATCCACAAATGGTTCCATTTTGAGTCTCAACTACACATCTTTCACCTTCAGGCAGATTATCCATACCTAAAAAAGATATTTGAAACAGTTAAATTATGAGGTTATATAAAGGAACTCAGACAATGTATAAAATAAACAGTGATGTGGTGTTCTTTTTATAAAACATGGCTAATGTGACTGGAGATAAGAATTATTCTATTATTTACCACTTGTATATAATGCATAGAAACATTTATTTATGCTATATATTAAAGCTTGATAATATAGTCTTCGAGATAGTGATTTACGAATTTTAAGTGTGTTATCAATTTGAGTACGCAGTACAATAGTCATTTGGTTATTTTCTATGTTAGAGTTATTGATAATATCACTCACCGTATTGTTTCGAAACTTCAAGTTTTCATAATCAAATGGAGTTGGTGTATTAATCAAGAATCTACTTGTATACACTATCAAAATATCTTATCAGCGACATATTTCATATTTGTTTACATTAAAAGTTTGTAATGTTAAATGTCAAATATCAAAATGTCAAGAGCACTTTCAAGTAATATAGCATAAATTATTGTACTGTTACAGGTGCATAGATAATGTTCCTCGTCATATATTTAAACAATAGTTCATTTATAAGTAAAAAAAGAGAACGCAGCTGGACTGCGTTCTCTTTTTTCATCTTTTATTTTAAAGGACTTAAGCAACAAAATGACTTTAAACTGTGTGTTTTTCAATAGTTCACGCCAATCACCGTATTTATTGAAATTTATAGACCTACAAGCCAATCTTTAATTTAAATTTTAAAAGTCGATTGGGCTTGACCTCGCTACGAACGCCTATACATTCGTATACATATACATCTATCCTTACTTTTTTCACGCTTTACCTACCTAGAAGTGTGTATCTATTTTCAATATTGATGGATGGTAGTAGAAAGTATCTAGGAACGCTTACATGTGCCTATTGAGAAACAATACAGAAAATATACAATTTCGAATTATAAATGTCTCTGTTATACTTTAACCTATATGACTCGTCAAAAATTTTTTGAGACTTCGATTATCAAAACAATTGAAGACCGTGTAAAAATACTGGTTTTACTTACCTAATTTGTGCATGCAGCAATATGATTTAGTAACGAGTTTGTCGGTCTACAATTTATTGAATGGATTGGAAAGCAGTCTCGTCGTGTAAGATACGCTTATTATAAAAACACAAAAAGGCTAAGAAATAATACATGTTTCGTTTTGTGTATACAGTTGTGTACATAAAAAATAAGCTATATTATAAGGATGGTCAAGAAGTTTAAAATACTTATAAAACTAAACAATTACAATCTCGTTTGATCCGTTTCACGTTCATAAAAATCGTTTAACACATCCTGATTCATCACAGCATCATCGCAAAACCTCAGTTTATTAGCTGCATTCTTTTTTTAATTCGGAGACATCATGAGCCAGCATGTTTTTAAAGGCGGTTGTACTTATCATATTAGCAAAAAACTTCCTATTCGTTGTAAATTTTTCTGCGACTCCGACTGTGGTCTTCGACGGTGAGTTAATATAAATATGTATATTATCTATAAAGAAACTGTAATGGAATTTTAACTTAACAAGATAATATTATTATGATTTGATTGGTATTTGTATACAAGTTGTATAATCACGTTCCTGTCAGAGGAACAACAATTGAAAAATTATATCAGACTTACTTTTGCTGTGGCATATTTGTGGATATGCATTTGGTAAACATTTCTGATAACTCTTTCATAATGGAATTAGCGTATTCGAAGCCCTTTGTTTGCCTAGGTGGAATTTAAAAATTAAATAATATATTAAAACAGAATATTGTATTACATATGCTGTACTGTATTATATAAGAGTCATTCTGATAATTAATAAGGCTTTCTGTTTGATAACAATAATAATACAATTACTTATCCTCCAAATCTCCCTCGCAAATTATTTTCGTCACTTGAATAGAAACCAATAGAACACTATACATTTGTAACGGCATTTCCCTCTTAGTAAACCTAATAAAACTAAAATAATATATATTTAAAGGAAATATATAAATAACCAATTACTTTTCAAATAATTTTATTCACGCCATAAACTATAGTGAAGTTGGTTTGTGATAAAAAAATAGCTTATTTGTAGTTTGTGTTATTTGTAGCTTATTTGTTCACGGTATACAATATTTTATAGTAGTGAATAAAACTGCATGCGGTTCAACGGAATTTTAAGACTAAATATATATTTTCATAACGTTTATCTACTGAGTTTCGTGACAAATCTATCTAAAATCAGGTATATTAAATGTGAGTAGTTTTGCGACATTTGGGGTATCCACAGATCGTTTATTCCTTTTCACGCATTGAGGTCGTCCTTTCACACTATGGTCCTTGTAGTAGCCCATATTGCAGATGCAGAAGTTAGGAGCAGAACACACACCGTTGTGGCAGCCGCCGGCGCAATGTGGGACACAATAACTAAAAAAATGTATTCGAAATATAAGGAGAAAGTTTATGTCGATAAAAACAATAATTTTAAGTAAAAATATTAATTTAAATAAGACACTAACGGTTTAAAACGCGATATATTAGTAAAACTTATTTGAAAATTATTTTTTAACTTCGGCCCGACGTTTCGGATGCTTTGCAGCACCGTGGTCAAGGGGAGGCACACGTAGAGTAAGTTTAACTAATATATTGTATTTTAAACCGTTAAAGTGTTTTATTTAAATGTGTACTACTCGCGGTAACTATAGACAGTATTTAAAAATATTACATAATTTTGTTTTGCTGTGCTGATTTATAAATATATTAATATTTATTTAGGCATTTGATCACAAATAATATTAGCCATATCTTTAAGTATAATAATTAAATAGATTAAGGAAAGCCAGACTGGCGCTATAACGTGTTATGTAAAGAAGCGGTAAAGAAACCAAAAGGTGTACGGACATTATTCAAGCAAAAGAAGGTAGCGAATCAATGACAACTTCCAGCTAAGTAATTCTAAATCTACCTAATTACTTTTTATAACAAGTCACTATTGTTTGTTTTATGTTATTCTATTTTATTTATGTATATAGTTGGATGGAAAATTTGAATAATGCCCATGAAAGTATTGGTATACCTCGTCCCGCTAGAGTTATCCACATTAAGTACGTAACCAGGATTACATTGACATTTATTGCCTTCCACACAATATCCATTAATGCAGGGTTGCGAACAGTATGGTTCAAATTCTTGGTTGTATTGCTGAATATCTGGATATAGATTCTGCGCGTGATTATATTCGCCTGTTTGACCTTGGCTATCTACGTGCACTTGAGTTCCTGAAAGACCAGAACTAGGAGGATAGGTGTGCTTTTGAGTGCCTGTTTGAGGCTGGTTAGGAGAGTATAGATTAGGATTAGGAGAGTATTGATCTGGTTGACCTGGAGGTTTGGGATTTCCTTGTGCTGTGGTGTAAGGATAACTAGATTGGCCGGGTTTATTAGGATATCCAGGATAGTTGGGGTTTCCAGGTTGGTTAGGTCCTTCTGGCCTGCTAGGATAACCTGTTTGACTAGTTCCACCTGGTTGGTTTTGAGTACCGGGCTGGTTAGGGTGACCTGGTTGACCAGGTCTTCCTTCATGACTCGGATATCCATACTGGTCAGGCTGGCGCCCAGGGTATTGGTGGTCTGTCTGTTGTAGCCCTGGGTATACCTGACTGCCAGGATAAAGTGGAGAATTTTGCTTGTTTATTGGTTGAAAGGAAGCCGATATGATTGATGTAGTTGTTTCGGGAAATTCACATTTACCAGGTGCAACACACTTGCCGTTTGGTCCACAATTTCTGAAAAATAATGAAAGGAAACTCATAATAAAGCTCGGTGTTTTTGAAAATACTTTATGTTCTCTTGATAACTTATAAGTTTTTGTATAAAATTATAAATACTGGGGACAATCTGGTATGCAAACGCCGGCCTCCCTTATGATGTATCCTTGTTTACATGTGCATTTGTTAGGTGCCACGCAATCACCATTTTCACATTTATCACATGCGGGCTTACAGCTTCCAGTATTGGTTGATGTGTAACCACTTGGACAGGAACATATGTTTGGTGTTGTACAGTTTCCTGAAAAATACGTCTATTCACCATCATATTATAACAGAAAAAGCTCCAAGGAGATCGTTAATGTATTTCAAACAGTCCGACCATATTTTTGACGGGGTCTTTGGTAGCCGCGTCAATTGCTAATAATCGACGGATTGATGGATCCATCCCCTCGGGACTAACACATAATTCGATTCAATTTATAGTTTTTCAAAAATATATTGGACTTTGTCTGAAAATCTGGTTAATATGCTTGTCACGAACCGCAGTCCGTAGATGGAAACCTCGTGAAGTTTAAACGCGTTTGCATTTTACTATCATAAAAAAAAAACTGTATAGCATATAGTATATGGCCAGGATTGGGTCATATTTTTACTCGTTTTTCAAAGCGTTAACATACAGTTAATAATAACAATTCAATTTATAAGAAATATAATCCGATTTTTAACTTAACGCGGATTGAATTTTACATCGAAATTCGTATTTATTTCACACCACATCTCTAATTGTTAGTTTTAAAAACATGTTCTTAGTTTGTGTGAGTTTACATAATAAATGGTATGTACGTACCGATTCCGCCACAATTTTCCATGCATTTTGGCAAACAATATTTGCTTTCAGAATCTATAACAAAGCCATCTTTGCACAGGCATTCACCGCCGCTGCAATGTCCATTTTGGCAGCCTATAGGGCATGTTGGGATACAGAAACCACCCAAATTTTTCACGTGATCGGGGAAACACGTGCACGTCTCTGGAGCCGTGCATAGGGCGTTCACACATTCCTCCGTGCACACGGGATCACAGATTTTAAAGTTATGAATGTTCCTTATGTAGCCTTTGCAGCATGATCTGATTCTACTTAGCTCGGGACGAGACTAAAACATTGAATACACAGGACTTTTATAAGCTACCTTATGATTGGAAAATATAATTTTCCTATATTCAAAGATACTTACACCATTTCCAGCCGGTACTTGGGCCTGGTTGAAAACTAAACTGGCGGTTCTGTAACATCATAGTTGGTGTTCTAGACAAAGTTATTACTTGCAGTCAGGATAAATAATATCTAACACTGCGATTTAGGAGTTTAATTTGTGACGTCATCATCCATCTCATGTTGGGGACACCGATTGAATATCGGATGATCAACGATAATCAACGTCACCATACAATAGATTGTTTTAAATATAGAGGAGCAACAGACAAGCAGTTGATTGGAGGTGAAATACGCCAGTTATATAATTTCGGATATAATACATTACTTACGGAACTTCGATGTAGCAGACGCCAATTTCATAATCTCGATGATATCCACCTTGAGTTACGTTTTGTGATTCGTACCCTCGAGTTGAGTTTGCATAGAAACTAAAATTATTCCTTTTAGTTATTAATTTGCATTCATTTGTGTAATTATGTTTTATTTTGAAGGACAGGCCATGCAAACACTTACGAATTTACAAAGAATAATATGTAAACATAATCAAATCTTCTTTATTCCTTACTTTGGTAGTTTTGCTGCAGGGTTATATTGTCGGTAATATCCTCCCTGATGACCACCCTTCACTGACTTTACGTTCACATATTGCGCGTTGTCAGCGTACACACAAACCAACGGGATTAAAATTGCCAGTACAGTACGCATGACTACTGGCTGCACGCTAAAATAATTTTGGTTAATAATATTGATTTAAAACTGAACCTCCTAAGATTGGTGTTATGATTATAATTCTTTTGACAAGATTCAACCTCTACTATGTCTTATGAAAGATAGTTTGTAGTCTGTAGGTAAAATAAATTGAAAATAAATAGGTAAGTGTTAACTAAGATCTATAGCGACTTAAACGGTAAAGTGTTTTATTTAAATGTGTACTATTTGCAAAAGCTATATTCGATTAATTTTAGCAAACTAATAAAAAAGAGCTTTCAAACGAATTTTTAAATTAAAACGTTTTAAATACTGTCTATAGTTTACGCGGGTAGTACACATTTAAATAAAACACTTTAACGGTTTAAAACGCGATATATTAGTTACGCACAGCCGCACGTGGTTACGGGGAGACAGGATAGTCTCCTCGTGACCACTAAAAATCATTTTCAAATAAGTTTAACTAATATGTAAATCGCGTTTTAACCCGTTAAAGTGTTTTATTTAAATTAAAACGTTTTAATTTAACGTTAAACTATAAGAATTTGTTATTGAAAGTACGACTTAGTAATTCAATATACTGCAGTGGCTACCAAAATAATGATCCTTTAAGTTTCAAAATAGATTTAATAAAGTAGATTAAGTGCAAAGCCTTGACTTTCAGCCAATAAATGTAAAATATATGAAGTAATTTCAATACAAGAATACACTTACCGTATAATTTTAAATATTATTACAGATTAATCATAGATTAATCCAACTATTCTCGTCTGTTAATACTTAACCACTGCGTGTATAAACATAAAGTAATCTTAAAATATGTCCTTTGACTGTGATATATGAATAACGCACTTTAAATAATGATTTCAGTGGGTTCCGTCTATATAATATGTTGTTGCGTTATATCGATGAAATTGGAGATCAAGGACGTGGTTTATTAAATACATGTTTGATCCCTAATTCTCGCAGTTGATGCTGTCATCAAGCGATGAGATAATGCGATCTTGTTTTGCTGCTTCTGAATTATTTATTACTTTAAAAAATAAAGACCTCTTTAAACCATGTGTAATGTGTTAATTTTCCCTATAAAAGCATTGTTTAAGACAATTAGTTCGTTTATTTTCAGTGTTGATAATTTTTAAATTCAGAAGATTTAATAAAATAATAATACGTTACCGAAATTATTATATTGTCTTCTGTTATATTGATCAATGAATTTATGCACATATACACAATATTCATACTACTGGAACCGAAATAGAAACATTTTAAAAAGATTTTTATGTATATATGTCGTAATTTTTTGGTACGTAGATTAATTGTTCTAATAAATATATTAAATTTGAAATATAACTCGAGTTATTAGCACAATATGCTAGTAGAGACTAGCTTATATGTAGTTAGTACCATTAATATTATGACCGTCTCAGTAGCCCATTGGTACTCGTAGTTAGTTATGTGGCTAGGCATTTCTTTAACTAGGTTAGGATTCTAATAGCGAGACCCGGAGAAACGACTTATTGCTCGTACCAAAATAAAAACATAAAACGTACACGAACTTGTGTCTACTGTAATGCTCATATAGAGGAATGAGATTAAACTTTTTAGTTATAAAAATTAAGTTTTGTGTTTTAATATTGCCTTTCACTTATATTTTGGCGTGTTTTTATCAAACAATTCGTTTTTTTCTTTTTAATGTAAATATAATAAATAAATTTAGTTGTTAAAGGAAACGAGATAAATACCCACGCATGACCTCAACGTTTTATCAATCTGGTGTCAAATGTAATTACGAATTTGTACAGCGATTAAATATTGCACCCATTGACTTTACCAAGTATTGGTTATTCGAAAAATAAACAATATTGTTATGAAGCAAATTATTAATAAAAACGTAATATGTTGTTTATGTGGCACCCAGACTTAAGACTTACATATAAAAAAAATGAAAACTCTAAAAAAAATATATGAACATTACTCGTCTCTAACGTTTAACGGTTAACTACGTAACCTTTAATTTTACGCTTTTTAAGAAAGTTGAATAGTTGGAAAACTCTATGTTATCAAAGCTATATTCTTAATGCTGTTTAGTATTAATACATACTTGGTTAAACCTTTGTCATCTGTGGAGGGACGTTGTCAGGTACAACACAATACAATACGATGGGGGGCCCACAGTACATGTTGAAAGTCTGGATCAGTCGTAAAACTGGAGGTTTGAAATTTAATTGTTAAATTGCCATTCCTTCTTGAGAAAATGTAATATATTTTATTATGCCTGTTACGAGCTATAATCTAGATTCGAAATGGTAATACATTTCAAATTTTGTGTGAGCCCCTAACGATTGAAAATAATGTAAAAAGGAACGTAAGTTTTTCCTGATTGGAATGTTATTATTGCCAATATAATGTTTATAACAAAACTTTAAGTATTTTCTAATGAATTACATAGAAAAACCTTTTGTTGCTTGAGGATTTGAGTTACGAAATAAAACAAAACATAATTAGATAGTGTATTAATAACTTATACGAATATCTCCATATATCAGAATTATCCTAGAAATCATGTAAAATATTAAATAACCTCTATTAATTTAAAAATTGTACCATCTTTGGTTACTTGGTAATTTTTTATTAATAGGAGCGCCATCTATCGACAAGTGTGTGTATTCCGTCATAATTCAGTCACCGCTTCTCCGTTCAGATTCATGATTTCAATAGCGTGTTCTGATGGTGGCCTCCAGCACGGTATTTCAGCGTACAGGGGTTCTGAATTGGCGTTATTTATTACGTCCAACTTCGCTTCACATTTTAATGCGTCAATCGTATAATCCGCCAGTGTTCTGTGACTGTTCTCGTCATAATTTATAGATGGCGCTGTAGAGGAACGGGCAGATATGTCGTGACTTCTTCGCGGTAAATGGTCATAATGACATTCAAGTATGCCTGAAATATGAAATAGATGTTTTTGTTTACACGCTGGTATTATAATAATAAACAAAATTAGAGTTAATGAAATGTAAGAAAAGTTACCTCGAAAATTCTCAAGCATGATTGGTGAAATATTTTGTACTACAACTGGTCTCATAAATTGTTTTAAATTCCTATCCAATGTGGATATTGGCTGGTAGTGGCATTTGGCAGAAATTGGCGGATCTGAAATGAGAAAGTAAAATAAAAAACTGGCCCATGAGGGGATCGAACCCGCGACCTTCGCGTTATTAGCACGACGCTCTAACCAACTGAGCTAATGGGCCGTAATGAAGTAATTTGAAATTTATCATCAGCTTTAAACCATCCAACTTTAAAATACCATAATAATATATTAGAAAAACGAACTTAATATCTGAGAAATACAAAAGAGATCTACAAACCTGGTAATGGCGTATGAAAAATACTCCTCACATAAGGCGGAGGAACATCATCGTTGTCTAACATAACTTGCATCCTTATATCATTGATTTTTCTCACATCGTCATATCTAGGCCTCCTACACCTTTCAAACATAACTATTATTACTGCAACCGTAATAACTGCCATCATTATACCACCAGCAACACTTACAACGGATATAAGATCGAGTGATTTATTCTCTTTTTCCTTGTCAGACATTACAGCGGTGATATGCTCCGGTTCTGTTAAAATATGAAACGTTTCGTCTTCAGGTGGTCTTTCAGTACTTATAATATTAGCAATTATTTTAGTAGTATGATTCTGATTAGTTTTCTTTGTTTGCTTTTTAAGAGGAACACTTGTGACATGTTTAATATCATTTGTTATTTGCTTTGCAGTAGTCGTTTTAAGAGTCTCTTGAGATCTAAATGTCTCATCTTTTAACAATTTTCTTTCATTTTTAAAAGTATTTGAAGATTCAGTTGTAATTTGAAAAATCTTGTTAGTGAAAGTTCGTGAAGTTATGGCGTTAGAAGTATTAAACGTATTAGAAGGCTTGCCAATTGTGCTTGAAGCGCTTGTCATGCTGTTAGTCGTTTTACTTTTGGGAATTGTTGCGTTGATGGCTGCTGGACTTATAGTGGAAGTCGTGGTAGTCACAGCGACAGGGGAAATCGCTTTTAGTAGCTCCTTTTTTGAAGTTGTCTTTACCACATTAGCATGAGTAACCTTTTTAGAAAAAAAAGCATTAGAAACATTTCTTTGTTTGGTCGTCAATATTTTTATCGTAAACGGTGCTTGCGTCGATGTGGCTGTTGTCATCGATTTTGTATAACCATTTTCTACACTTTGGTTCTGAGCTCTCGATACATTTTTAGTTTTCGCAAAATACGAAGCTGTTGTCAAAGCAATCTTTTTGAAAGAGGCATGTGAAACTGAGGTTGGTATTATTGACACCACTATAGTTCTCGGTGTCGTTATTTCTGTTGTATCCTTTTTGGTTCCATTCCTTACGTGGAGAAGATCTTGATTGATTTTTAATTTAATTTCAGGCGATATTCCTTTTTGAGTGGGTTTAATCCATATTTCCTTTGGTTTGAATTTTGTTGCACTTGAATTGAATTTGATATGTGTATCAAACTTTTTCGGAATTTCAGTTGTTAACATGTTTGAAGATGAATTAGACGTAGAAGTGATTATGGGAGATACTAGCGTTGTTGCGAAAGGATTGAAAATGCTTTTAGTGTTCAATGTTTTTTCAGAAGTTGCAGTATCATGCGCAGAAGTAAAGTTATGCGACGTACCTTCTGTCGGTGTTTCGGTTCTATTGTAAATAAAGTTAATAAGCGTTTTTGTTGTAGTTACTTGGGATACATTTGAGCGAGTTGTAGTTTTTTCAATTGCTATAGACGCGTTCCTATAGGCATAAGGTTTTGCCGTTATTGATGATTTTGGCATTATTATCATCTTTGAAGTAGATTCTGTATTAAAAGTAGCAGAAAGTTCGGTAGATATTGGATTATACAAAGTACTCGAAACAGGCATTGTAGGTTCTACAGTCGTAGTTGTAACGGTGTTTTTAGTAGAGGCAGGTATAGTTTGGACAGTAGATTTTGTAGTTGTTAGTAATTCTTCCATTAATGCTGGTGGAGGTGGTGTAGTCATGCGGATATTACAACTGAAAAAGAAAATATTAATATTGATTTTCATAGAATTGCATAGGTTTACAGGTAATTACAAGGAGGGATCGAGTGTTATTTTGTCATAATAATGGATAATATTCTATATTATAATAGTCAGACCTAAGCCAAAGATAATGTGTAGTAAGTTTTGGCCTTGTTTAGCTACACACTTTTAACAACAAAGCACTAGTAAAAACTTACTTTATTTATGAAAAAAAACTTGCGTCCATTACGATTTGACAATTTAAACATTCTTATACAGTTAATAACGCTAACTAATAATTAATTAAACTATATATATAAAACATTGTATTTTAAATCAAGTACGTAAATCTACAATATTAATAAAAGTGGTAACCCACCTCTCACCTTGCCATCCTTCCAGGCATTCGCATTCACCAGTTACGGGTGAACAAATTCCCTTTAAACATTTTTTGCATTCATTAACGCAATTGGGACCCCATTTGTTAGGTGGACATTCTGAAAAATAAAAAACAGTTCTCATTTAGTAACAAGTCGAAGAGGTAGTATAAATTCAAATGATTACATTATTAACAAATACATTATTTATCTTATATACATTATTTAACTTATTTACAATATATTTTAACTACGGTTTGATGTTTCGGACGTCCATCACGCCCCGACGCACACGGCATCCGAAACGTGCCGTAAATCCGAAATTACAGACACAATTATACTTAAAATAATAATAACTATTCGTACCTTCTGAGCATTTGCTTCCAGTTTTTCCGTTAGGACAAATGGGTACGCATGTGACGTCTTTCATTTTGTACCCAGGGCAGCAGACAGCTACTTCGGCAGTTCGTTCCTGAGTCTGAATCATAATAAAGATTCAAATTCAGTTAGACACAAATTTTCCTTCAGTATTTCAATGTTAAATTGTTGTTTATCATAAACTAAATTAATTTATATCTATTTAATATTATCATAAGCTGTATATTACAAACACCAATAGTAATTCGACTAATGTAAACTATAATAAAATTCAACTCATTTACTTCTAGCCTTGTCAGGTCTCTCATTTCTGTTTTCCATCGCGAGCACCTCGGTGGCATAGACAAGCACCACTCGTACGTCCTCACTGACATGGGGGCTCGGTATTTTACACGTTTCGTTACGTTGTACCTGGAAATATTAACAATCGTGTTTCACCTCTCATCAATATGAACCCCATGCTTATCTGTTCTCATCTTTGCACTTTCACAAATATACTCTCCTACTTTATCAAAAGGAAAGACAACAAAAGAAACGAAGCCAAGTGGATATAGAATAGTAAAGAGTAAGAGGAGAACTGAACTAAGATTAAATGCTCCGCATAGCTTCTAGTTACAGCCATCCTGACTTGAATTTTAAATTATTATTTCCAATACTAACTTCTGATGCACCATGCAGACATTGGGTCCGCTCAAACTGGCCACCTCCAACAATGTTACCATCAAAACACTGGTAACACAGAACACTGTTTTGGTCCTCGGCCATGTTTGGAGCACTATCATTTTTAATGAACTATATCCAATCCATAATTTTCATTATATCGCGCTTGTCATCTGAAATAATGATTAATTAGATGGTTATTGAGCGTCAATAAGTGTTTTAACATTTCTATTGCTTTGATGGTTGGAAATTTTAAATCTGTAACATACTCTGTCTAATTTCGTAAAAGATTGGAAAGTATTTAACGTTTTATATTGGTTTCGCATTCGATTCCTGCTTGTCGCAATTTTTCACTTATTCTCAAAGACTTTAATAGTATTTAATTGTAATAATAAAGTAAAGTAAAGAAGCAGCGACTTCTTTAGGTACTGGCTTAAAATCATAGACCGGCTTCTGTTAGAAAATAAAAGCAGTACAATATAATAAGATAAATGAATAATTATGATAATTATAAGTAGTAATTAAGAATAAGTAAACCAAATCCCTTCTGACCGAGTAAGGGGAGTCCCCGTCGTCCTTAGCTGGTGCAACACCATGGACTAAACTAAAAAAATAGGCTAAAGTGAAATTCAGCTACTGAATATTTTATTTTGAACCAAATATTCAGGCGAAATCCGCACTCCCCTTATTTGGACAGAATTAAAAGATCCCAAATATTACGAAACATGGCCCCTATCACACGACAGTTAGTAACAATTAATTCACATGTCCTCTTTACGCTCCCCATCCTGTTCAGTTAGTTGACCTTTACTATGAACATCTAGGAGTTGATTAATACTTATTTGTAGTTAAATTGACGGCAATTTGGATTTACTAAAAGATATTACGAGAACCATTGTAAATTGTTATCGCGTGTGATCTTATCAATGATTAATTATTTACTAATTTAGCCCAAAAAAAAAACGGTTTAAAACATTTTAATCCCAGTCCAGTTAGATTGTCTTCGTGTTACACTTCAATTATTATTATGTTTCCTATTTACCGTAATGCTTATATGTCATTAAATGGTTAATTATTTATAATTTGGATATGATTGAAAACGAGAGTGTTTTCAGTTATGAAGCCACTTGTAATAATAATGTTTTTATAACTTCGTATTAGAAATATGTACTATCCTTTTTTTGTACTTCTTAATTAGTGTAAAGTGGAACTATAGATTTTTTTTATATTTAACAATCGTTTGTCTTTATCAATCCCTACTCGGTTACAGATCCTATCAATTTATAATCACATAACGCCTATATGTTTTGTCAGTGAATCGTTACAGTAACTAGCTCTAATAGATTAGAAGGGGGCAAACCGCTTATTTCCGCTCGTCTATTGGGACAGGATTTATAAAGTGGCTGATCATAATACAGCGAACGTTCAACTCTAAATTCTAGGTCTTTTATATATTTTTATTTTTTTAAATTAGATCTCATCAACAAATTGGCGCAAAAATACAAAAGAGTTTGTGTAAAACACGTATAAGATATGCATAGCAGTGACGTCACTGAAAAGTCAACTGCATTTAACGAAAGCATTTTGTACTAAACAGTTATACAGAAATACCGAAAGCATCTACCAAAGAGAATTTATATTATCGCCATCTGTCTTTGAAACTTATCATTTTTAATTGGCTTAATGTATCTACTAAATTCGCCCGCACCAGTAAAGTTAGTCGATGTCAAGTATACCTTGTTATAACTTATTCTTAGTAGTAGATAGCAGTAGGTATAGTTTTCTTTGGCACGACTCAGGGTTTAAACGGCTTAATTGGTCCCGGGTGTGGGTGTTTCATTAGAGGAATTTAATACATTAACAAGGGATGAACTTATATTCTTTATATTATATTTATTAATTTCAAAGAGGCTTATCAACTAAATATTCTTTGTTATATCGCACCAAAGTAAGTTTAAGTAATTTATTTATTAACTTCACATATAGGTACCATTTTCCACTTCAAATATAATAAGTAATAGGTATATATAAGTAATGTTATGTATGTAACGTAATTTCAAAAATTTTATCCGATCAGATGATATAACGCCATTTATAACTTTACGTTGTTTTATAAACTTCAAATCTAAAATTTCAATAAGCATTAATTATCCATTAAAATCGTGCCCATTCCAATCTTTGTATGCAATAAATCATTGTTATTTTACATATCTGACAATTTTAAAATTATACAAAATAATGTTTTACTTACAGTTTTATATTTAAAAAGGCTGTAAGTTAAACTTCTAGAGATGTCATTCACTTCACAAAAATTGGCACAATACAGTGTAGAGATGTGCCGGGCGATAAGTGTTGAGAGATAGCGGGAACGGCATGTGATTACAACCATGCGACCGGGACTCGACTGGGATGCGACAGGATGGGACGCTGGACGATGATAGCGATGCGGGTCATAGAAAAAATAGGGACACGTCCTTTAAACCTTTCTTAGAAATGCGATACAAAAAATATGAGCCTTATGTTATAGTGACGTGATAATAAAAAGTAACTTTAGTATTCTTTCAATATGGTTTGTGTTTAATAACATTGTAATAGTAACTGCATAATAAAGGATTGTTACTTACTGGATTCATCCCAGTTACAAAATCTTATTATCGCGAGCCATGCCCTATATCGCGAGCCATTAATCCGATTTTAATCATAACTTTTTATGTCAAGAGCCTTTTCATACGACCTATTCCTATATGATGAGGATATCCTTTAGTAATGAGGTAATAATTCAAGGTTTTCTTTAATGACTCGACCTCACGATCACAGTGCGCTACGGATGTGACACAGTAGCTATATTGTGGTCTTGGGTTCTAGTCCCGCCAGTGCATTAGTCCTTTTGAATGTGTTTAAGCTCCTATTTGCATTTGAGAATTCAAATAATGATTATTACATATTGTTTAGGTGAATTTAGGCTTATATATTATAATTAATCATTGTATTTTTATAGGAAAAAGCGAACTGTAGCAAAGTGTAAGTAAAATAAACTGTTTTTATCAGACGATTCTTTGGTTTTATGCAAGGGGGACAGCAATTCAATAAAAGAGGCGACGTGAAGTCGGCGCGCCGGAATAAGGCTCTTGTCTCACATAAACGTCGTAGGTAGCTTATAGCTCGCACGACATACTACTCCTTAAAAATTTATACTTTATACAGATTTTATCTCATTGGTACTTTGTTGCGGGTACAACATTTTACGCTGCTCTCTACTTATTGTAAATTAAAAATGCTTTGTTTGTCGTCTCCTATTGTAAATTTGTGAGACGTGTATTTTCGGACGTGTAAGATGTGTACGGACCCCTTTAAGGGTGCTTTTCCATATATGCTAAGCAGCTATGCTGTAAAGATGTGGAATTTACGCTACAAAAATATGTGACCGTTTTCACCAAGAATACTTTATGTAGCTGTGCGAGAAAGATGCGCATCTCGAGCTATGATTTGAAACGTTAACAGGAGGGAAACGAGGCAATAGCCCTGTAGTTATATTATATACAAATAGTTTGTAGGTATCTATAGCACGCATTCTTCCATATTAAGAAGAAATTATCTTAGTTGTATGCGCTTTAGTGGTAAGCTATGAGTACCAAAGAATTTATATTGGATAAGCACCCTAATATTAATTTTAATACATCGTACGTTTACGCATTATAAGACACCAGAACCTAATATAAGTGTTTGTTCGCCGCATCCGTTTTATTGGGGGATATTGTATAATGCTAGTACTCGTGAACAATATTAGCACTTCAAGTAATGGCGTCGTTAATAAATCAGTATCAATTTATAAAGAACAATAGTGGTTTTAGAAGTATAAGGAATAATTTATTATATTATTATGTATAGACAAAGTAAACAAAACTTATTTTCTCTAGCTTATTGGCATCATATCAGCTCTATTATTGACCACAATATTATGGTAGCATAGAGTTATAATCAAGTGAATAATTAACTCACAAATGACAGCCTTATGACATTATTTATACAATAAATGTTTATGCGAGTACTTTACATAAAATAAAACAAGTTAAAACGAATTAAAACGAGATGTCTATTTTATGTACTGAGTTAAACTACAACCCGGCGTTTCAGTGGTCGCTGAAAAGCATTTGTTAAGTCTTATTTAATATTAATATAGATAAACATCACGTTTCGTTTAAGTAGTTAATCGTTTAAAGCCTTTCCATCTTGAAAAAAATGTATGACATAACCATGGTAATAGGGAAGCGGCCTCATTCTCAGCTATCTGTTTTTAGAGACTGCTGATAGCTTTTGTGTTGTAGGTAGAGGTTTTCATATGAGACACTTAAGCACGCTTCCACTAAGCCTCCAGGGAATGAGGCTTTGTTACAATCCTTTGTTTTAGAAAAAGATTTCAGATCCCCTGAAATATTGCTACAGTTACCTGTACCTGTATCTATGTAGATGCACAAGGGAAACTTTGACAGAGACTTCTATTGTTACTGAACATATTACGTATATGTACAACGTATTAAATATTGTTTAAATACATTATTTATTTACAAAAGTAAGTGTTAACGTCCATACACTTTAGTATATAAGTCAATTGTCAAATGTCAAAACTCAACTGTCAAATTTTAATTGCTCTTAATTCTAACTAAACCTTATTACCTCTCTCGATTACAAAATTGTATTACCTATTGGATACCATTTAATTTATTTAAATAATTAACCTGAAAGTTTTTTTTTTATATTCGGAAATGCCCAGATTCAAAAATATGTATTTGGACATTCTTAAATGTTTCATAGATATTATTTGATTCTATCATTCTTTATATTTCTTAGAAATTATTATTTTTAAGAATAAAAGTGGAAAAGTAGTTTGAATCTTTCTCTCATACGATTAACATCGAGGTATTTTCTAATTAAGACACCCAATAGTTCACAAAATACTTTATTTTCTTGTACGTGTAACTAGACCTAAATTACACAGTAAATGTATGTTGTATTTACAAAATATTATTATTAAGAAACCTGTAATAAAATATTAGTTATGTTAATACTCAAAATACATGAAAATATAAAACAATTTTGATATTTTTAGTTATATTTAAAAGATGTACATTAGCCATTTAGCAATTTTCATCATTAGTAGCCTTTATATTTAATCAATATTTTCTTATCCAAGATATACACACAACAGTTATTATATTTAGTAATATCACAATTTCTATAACAAAATTCATCTTAGTCGTAATCCGCTAACCGTGGCCACGATAGAAGTAACTAATATGGTAATGAAGCTTGTTACGTCAAAGTGTCTATTAGCCGCGTTGTAGAATCCACCGTACACCTGGAGTCCAGCAGTTTCGATGCTGAAAAAAAATAGATATATTATTTCTTGTACTAATCATTTGTTATCAAAGGATATTTAAGGGATGAGCTGGCTTTACTTTTCCTGGCGGAATACTCGGCGTATAGTTGGTGTATTATTAGTATTTTAATAATATCTTTTTCCCTTCTAATGTCTTAATATTAAGCACAGGTCTTCTCTCACCTAGAATAGGACCTAGGCTCTTAAGCCCCTCTGTTTAAGAATTTAAATCTACCAAGGAAGTTTGGCAAACTTTAAATATGAGACACGGGGTAATGACGCCTGCTTATGGGCTGGTACTAGGGCAGTACTTTTTTTAGAACAATTCCAATTATCTAAGTAGCATTTTGCCTGACCCAGGTTCCAAACCTACGACCTCGTAATCGGATCAGAGAAATATATATTTAGCTTAGATTTCGAATACGTATTTAGCAAAGGTCTTTTCAATTAACATAATACGCAACAAATGTTTACAACAATATAGATATGTATATTGATTATTTATTTAAGTTACCTGAATTTACAGTAATCTCCGTCGTAACTCCATCCTAGATATTCTCCAGTTCTGAGATTTTCGCTCCGTAGCCAATCTTCCAATGGTCTGAAGTAGTCGCGTAAAGCATCGCCATTAAGTCTCGCCTCTCCTATGGACTCTTGGAGAACTTGACTCCAGGGTGCTGAAGAACCACGCTCCATTAAACGGCTGAAAAATAAGATTCAGACAGTTTATAAATAGGTAACGAAATCAAAAAGCTCTTTGTTTTCATTAGAAATGGGACTATATGTATGGAAATTCATGTCAAAATATTACTTTTTCTTCAAATAAACTCAAGACATCATACAGTTTAATTTTAGATTAAGATTGAAAAAATAATTTAATAAGAAGATACAAATATGAATATTTTGCAAACAATTATTGAACTGATTAAATACCCACCGGCGCCAACATGCTTCTTTAAGTCTAAATAATTTATTTTTGATACAAGTTTGACTTCGTCTGGAAAAATTGATAAAAATGGTGGTAGGAGTGTCGAAATTCCGACCGGATCACGAACTACCGTCAACAGATGAAGTCGTGAAGCAATTTAGTTGTGGTTTAAGAACAGAACCAAAGTAAGGACACGGTTTTAAATGTTATATGGGGTATTTTCACTTTGTATCAAGTGGAGTCCAAGCTTATCTGTCCTTCTCTAACATAAAATAAATAAAAATATACAAGTGAATATTTGTTACTTCCGTGTGGTAAGGCTCTTATGAAACTTGTACAAAGGAAATCACAGTTCCGCACTCGACCGAACTAAATAGGTGCTTCTGAATGCAGGATGAAATAAATTATATTTATGAAACCCTGAACGAGAATAAAGAATTATTTATAATATTCATAATTATATTAACTTCAATTAGTCTTGTAGAATTTCATTGTTATTCTACAAATACTAGTTTTAGAATAACCTTAAATTTCCCTCGTTGTCAAATGGTTAAGTGTGAGAGGTCCTAGGTTCTAAAAATGTAGAACACAATAGTTTCAGTCCAGCAACAGCGAATTCATTTTATACAGAGATATATATCTTATGAATATCTTTTAGTGGTGTTGCTTAGGGTCAAATTCTCTTGTATCCCAACCCACCAACCAACGAAGTACTTCGTTAAAACAAAAGACTATTTAGGGCGTTGTAATTAGTACAGCCAATTATAAATGAATTTGACTCTTGTAAAATTATAGTGCGCATAACATATTGCGTTCCAAATATCCCGTGTTGTAATTGAAGTACTATGAGAAATTATACATCTTATATGCTGTGGGTATCTAAACATGTGATTACAATCATTATAGTACGAGCCTTAGCTAATACATGGGCAAAAAATAAAGCCAGCGTAATTCAGCCGCAAATGCACTAGTAATCGTTATATGTTTGTCGGTCACAATTAACAATAATTGTTTTTCATATGTTCTGTAATGCATAAACAATAAAAGTTTGTTCTTCTGAGTTTTCTATACATATATAGTTATTGAAAACAGGAGTTTTTCACCTTTGTCCAGTGATATAAGGGGGGGTAAAGATTAGAATAAAATATAATAGACAATAGACTACATTAATTTTTCAAAAAGCAACATGTTCAATGATTAATTGTATACTACATAATAGAATTTACATTCGTTTTAGTATATTTTGGTGTCAAAGTAGACAACGGAAAATACGTATTATAATAAAACATTTCGCAAGTAAAACCTTCGTACATTTTCAGGTGTATATAAATCATATGAATTGTTATAATTATTGGAAACTTCCCTTATCCGGATTTATTGTAATGGATGTGTAACGTTTCGCGGTTAAATAATGTAAAACTATATTTATATCTAGAGCAACTACTGGGTACTATTCCTAATAAAACGTTTAAAAGAAATTATTGTATGAAACCGATGTATGCCCCGTGCAGGGGAAACATAAGGTAGACACACATCTATTTCCATTTCATTGTGGCAGGGTACGGGCACTAGCATTTATTTTCCGGAATTTGAACCCAAATGACACGTTTAACACAACGTGTTTAATCATTCGGTTGAAATGTCTTCCCTAATTAGTTAAGAAATGCGGATAGTAAAAACACTACAAGAATTTACGTCACAAATAAGTGTATGATGGAAAATCTATAGTTTATATCCCATAATGAATGTTTATGGAGAAATTGTACTCGCAGGTATCATTTAAATATTGCAACGAAATAGATTTGCGTGAACATTCTATTACATAAGTTATGTCCAGCTCAGCTTAGATAAAAGCAGGAATACATGGGGCGAAACGCTAAAATGTTGCCAATCTCGTATTATAGTTTTTCGTCTTATTCAAGAGTACGAATTTTATATTTTATTTGATTATAAGTTATGCCATTTATTAATATATATTTGAATATGTATGGATTATGGTAATGTTTTGGCAGTGGCCTCTGTGGCGACACGTTTGATTTCACCCGCTTAAACTCTACATATTTTGTAAACTTTTGATAAAAAGCGAAATTCTTATATGATGAAATTATGACATTAATAATCTTATGTTTAAATGAAATAAATAAAGACTAAGTTATACATAGTATTTTGCAATCATAGATACTAGAATACAAATGACGTTAGTGCCTTCCCTCAGCAGCATTTTAGGCGTCTTGCCTTGATACATTTTCGCATTGCAATCTGTTGTTTTCGCAACGCAGACCACGCTTCCTACTTCTATGTCGATTTAGGTCTCAATACATACTGTAACACTTAATGAGAGCGACAAAAGTTACGAGAATCACCAGTTAATATAGAAATGCTTCATTAGTTTTGCAACTCCACGGTTACCTCTACATATAAAATGGTTATTACTGACTGAACCGCTCAGCATATAACTTGGATTTAATTCGCCATATGATGGAGAAATAGAACAATAACGTTTTTCCAAATTGTATCTCAAGGAGACATGGCCTTTGTGCGATTATCCAAATACTATCTAAATATTGACATGTTCATAAAAAATATATAGATAGCTCTAACTTTATAAAACGGTATCGATAGAAAAATCATTTTGTATTTTATTGAAATGTATCCCAGGGAAAACAGATTTCAGAAAATAAAGTAACGCGGGTAAAACAGCGAAGCTCCTTTGTAAGATCAACATACGAAGATAATTTGTCTTTGACTTTTTAAGAATTGTCGGTAGTTTACATAAAACGCTTTTAACAATTTAAAACGCGAAATATATTAGTTAACTTATTTTGACGGCCGACGCGACGTTTCGTTTGCTATGGAGCAGCAGTGGTCACGGGGGAACGAAGATGGTCGGAGAACCTTCGCTAGTGTTTTATTTAAATTTTATTTTTTAATTAAAAAATACATATGAAGTGTAGACGTTTTCGTCATGTGAATGAACGAACGACGACGTTAGATTTAACAGAATACAACTCCCAGTTAAAATTATAATTACCGGAACTAAAGACATATAATAATAAGTTAAAACTTTTCTAAGCTGAAAACTGTGTTTAAAAATTAAAAGTTAAGTAAGAGAAACATTAGAATATATCTGTATCATTAAAGTATTTAAATTTATTGTTGCATATCGTTAACACAAATCAAAATTCGGCTGATTATATATGCTGGCACTGCGCAAAACTGCGCAACTTGTTTGAGTGTAACATCTAGCAGTTATCATTTGTCTGTGTTGTGTAGACAACTTGGTTAATACTAAATCTTTAAGCTTACAAAAGTGTTATGTAATTGTGACTACGTAATGATATACAGCGCATAATAATTTTGAAGGTTAGGTACTGGTAATTTTTGTAATAGCCTAATTGTATAATAATTAGATATGGTCTGAGTTGAAACGTGTTTAAACCGAAGCCGAATTTCGGTTAATGTTTCATCTGGTTATAGTAAGTACATATTTATAACCGGGACTTAATATGTTCTCCTAGTGACGAAGGTAATTACACCTCATAATTTTTATCTCCGCTCTTATGGTAGATATTTTTAGAAAAATGTCAAACACACATCATATTTGGCCCGATCCATATTTGAACCCTGAAAAGGGCTGGCTGAGAACCTGGCATATTGTGTAATACGTGCCTGGACACAGATGTTTAATAGTTTGAGAATCTAAATGACGTCTGTAACTTATGCGAATAGTACACATTTTAGTGAAACACTTTTAACGGTTTAAAACGATTTATTTTAACTATAATGCTTCGCACACTTTGCAAGAGTCATGAATATATTTCGCTTTTTAAATAGTAAAAAGCGTTATTATATTTAAATAATGATTTGAATATAGTTTTTTTTTTATTTAAATATTCGAACCAGGGATCTTGTAATCTACAACTGAGTGTTACAACCACTAAACCCACAAAGGAGTTATTAAGGTGTAACAGGTTTTAAACTATCTGTAACTAATAGTGTCAATTTTAACGACACCGTTCGAGATGACTTCTAGCCGTAAATATTAATAAGTTTGCGAAATATGATCGCGATCTCCTTTCGTAACCGCGTTCGTAACTAAATCAGAATAAACTCAGCTTGCAATGGTTAACAATAAATTTAAGCCCGCATGCCCTTAGGCCAAGTGGTCACTTCCTTCGGCCGAGACGGGTCAATTGTGTGCAGACCGCTTTATTTTCTCCTTTTTATTCACGCAATGGTAAATTGCGATAGTGCAAGTAACTATCCACTTGCCGGGCTTAGATACAAATGTAGTTAGTAATATTGTAGTGTCACTAACATTTGTAGGATTCGGGGGGAATTAACGAGAAAATATTAAAAAATATTATTTCCGTTTCACCTAGGAATTCCTTGTTGACGCGAGAGTACGTGGATTTGAATTTCGGGAATGCAAAAATTGGCGAGGCAGGGCACGGAAGTATGGTTATTCAAATCTAATCTCAGTTTAATAATCTTTAACTAAGCAAACGTAATTAAAAAGATAAATTCGTGAAAGGAGTGCATTTATCTAAGGGTCTGCGTAGGTCGGTTACAAATTGTTTTCCTTGTACAGAACACGTGCAACTCGCCAATCGAAGTATATAAAACGTCATACAATAGTTCGACAAACAGTTATATACTGTAAAAAAAATACGGATTCGATCCCCATCGGATCTAACATGTTTCTATTCATTTTATAATTTTATCGAAACACGTTGGATTTCGTAAATCTGGATTGTAAATGCAATATCTAAATCCACAGATAAAAAGCCGTGAAATATAAACGCGTTTCGCTTTCAGTCTGTGGATTTCAGAAAATCCAAGACGATAAAAGGTTGATAGCACATTCTTTTTAAATGTTATATGGCTTGGGGTTCAAGTGAACTCGGAAACTTATCTGTCCTTCTCTAACATAAATAATCTACTTAAAATTTTTGAAAATTTTAATTATCTTTACATGCTATTTATTATATGCTCATGATGGTATTTGATAAATTATTGATTTGGTAGCTTAATTGGTTAATGCAACAGCACGGCACGCTATGCCGGTTCAAGTCCTTCCCGAGTCGATTTTTTTAAATATTTAATTTCGATTTTAATCTACTAATTTGTTATTCCCACGTTTGAAAAGTTTGTATTAGTCAACGTGGTTCAATTGATAACGGTATTTGAAATATACCAAAGCCATTGCATAGCAAGGTCACAGGAATGGCACGTTTATAAACGATTATAGCAGAACCGTTCACATGCCTCCTTCCAAACTAGGAAATCCTGTATTGTCATGAGAATTTAACATAATATTTTATGATTTTCATCCGCAATGTATCGTATTGCGCAAAAAGCGACACAGGAGAATAATTCTTTTAATATGATATACGATTTACTACGACATAAATCTCAAATTATGGAACATTCGTTTGAAACTACAGACAGAAGTCGACTAGTATATAAATTTTGTGAGAATTGACCCCCAGACGACGTGAAACTAATATCCGATAGTTTTTTGTGCATAAAACTGATGACTTTTTGTAGTTCATTAAATATTTTGCATTCGCTTTGAAAATGCAGTTGTGTAAAGAAAAACACTCACGATACTAAGACAATACGGAAGTAAATAATTTTAATAAATTTAAAAATTTTGATTACTTGTTGGCCCTTTGTAAGCAAAACTACTACGAGTTTATTTCCCGCTATTATGTAAAATACTGCTATGCCAGTCGTAGTAGTAGTCAGTAGCAGGAACTCAAAAATGATACTTACACTTCCACCTTATATACTATATCTTGAGAATAGAAATACGTATGCAGAATATTGACACATTTCTAGCTATTTAAGTAGAACGTTGCTGAACACTAATCTTATAAGATTTTTATATTTTACAGTAATTTTTTTTTTAATACTCACGACAAAATTCTGCCTGCCTCTTGGTTCCTATAAATGTCGCATTTGTGAAGCGGTCGTGTCGGGTCACCAGGAATATACTGCCCAGTCCTCTCGCACAGGGCTCTGTGAATTTGGAACTGGAGTATTGTACTGACGAAATACCTGCGAACAAAGAATGTATTTGAGCAACTGAGTTACATAGATTTAACCGCTTTTTGAGTCTAACATTGGGATTATGTAATTCTTTGGTCATATACACATTTTTAAGTTGAAGTAAACAACTTAAAAATTCATTTTTCTTGTAACTAAAACAACAAGACTTAAATGTTAAAAAACCAGTTAAGAGACAGACAGTCTGTCTTCGATATTAATTATGTAAGACATTTAAATAAATCAGTTTAACGGTTTAAAACGCAATATATTAGTTTAACTTATTAATAGAAATAAGTTTAACTAATATATCGCGTTTTAAACGGTTAAAGTGTTTTATTGAAATGTGTACTACTCGCGTAAACTATATAGACAGTATTTATGTAAGACATTTTTAAGAGTTTAGAATTTGAAATTAGGAACCGCCATTTTTAGTTTCCTGTAGAGGCTGCTGTTTAGAATCCGCAACGTTAGGTCGTAGGTAAAAAATGTAAATAAGTACTAATATACTGCGGGTTTTAAACAGTTAAATATGTTTTATTTAAGTGCCCACATCACTCAATAAATAATTATCAAGAATATCACTGAAATTAGGCGCTCTTTGACAGCTAGAAAAATATCGTTTCGGACAACGATTACAACTAACTACCCGTTACCCCGATTTTCAATCTAATTAACAGCGTTTAGTAAATGAAAATTAATTAATATTGAGTCATAAATGATGGAATGTTCTTACACTAGTTAAACTATCAATCAATAAAAAAATTAGCCAACATGTTAATCAGTGCGAATAGCAATTATTTGTAGATACTGTCAGTAAATTCGTAGTCTATGTTAGGAAGTGGCTTCATTTATAGCGGTATTGCCGGTTTATTTCTATCGACTGAGTTTGAACCTCGGTCGCGAAAATTTTTTTTTGTCCTCGATGGAGGAAAAAAAAGAGAGAAAACCGATTTGATTTTAAATGACGTCACGTGTCTACTAACACACATTTAGCCAGCGTAGAAGGCCCACATATTCTCTTATGAAGCAGTCCCAGCAGTCTATACGCCAAGAACCTCTGTGTGTGTCTGCTGTTGTCTTTTATTATTAATAAGTTAATAACATTGTTATTAATGTTATAATACTTTTTGATAGACAAACAAGCGTGTTCATGTTATAATAGGTGAAACATCCCAGTCATAAAACTTCTAAACAAGGTATTGTCGACCCATTTTGTGGGAATCATATTCAGAAAGTCACAGACTGAAATCGAAACGCCGTTAAAATTTACGTTTTTTTATGTATGTATGGATGTTCAAGAACCGAACGGAATTTCGATAATCCTACCAGCCATTTCATATCCAGGTTTCTAGACGAAGTCCATCATATTTCAGAAAATTTTAAAAAATGTTGTTCGACCCGGTGAGGATCTAACCGTGACTCATTTCAAGCCATACATCGCTTCTATTACACTAACGATAAATTTAACTTAAAAAATTGTGTTGACAAAGATTATTACACTTGCGTAAACATCAAATCTTGCTAACACTATGAACACACCAATTACAACAGTAAGTGTGAAGAGTGCGTTTTCGCGTCGTTAACAATCGCAAAGTGGAGCAATATTATGTGATCGCAAATGTAGATTACAATTTAAGACATTTTGTGTTAATGTGCGTTTTTGTTTGTATAATTGTCTGTTAGGCCGGATAACATCTTTATAACTTTTGGATTACGCTTAAAAGCTAACTGTGCTATTTTATTTTTTAAATTATGTCTATATAATTAACTGAAAACGAAAGAAAGATTGCGCCATATGGATTTTTTAAATATTCTCACATGTATGCGCATGATGGTACTGTTACTAAGACAGTATTCCTCTTACGACACGGTAGCTCAATTGGTTAGAGCAGTAGGGAACGCTGTGGATGCCGGTTCAGGTCTTGCCCGTGTCGTAAATTTTGTGCAATCTAAAATCGATTTTAATTTAACTCAATATATTATCAATCAATCTATTAATTTGAATACAATTAAAACTACGTGAATTGATCTGTATATAGATTTATTAACCAATAAATATTTAATTTAAATTCCATTCAATTAGTTATGACATTAATTTATGTATTGGGAAACCAGTTCTTATATGTGAAGAGTTTGTTCGAAGTAAGACTACGTAACTGTGTGTCATATTTTATCTATCATCCATTCACTGTGTTTTTCCTGCATTTTCCGATCAAGAATGCTGACATAACGAACTGGTTCCATACTTAATTAACTATGTCTGTCCATCTATCACGCTTAGTGATCGAACGTTATTTACGATTACGAAATAACTAACAACAATCAATTATCTTTTAACACCGTTATCTGATTCCGATATTCAGTAGTGAGAGCTGTAATACTACGGCATTGAACACTAGATGTCGCCACTGAGATACATTTCTGATTTTTTATGATAGTTTATAAAACAGTTTTAGATTTAAAAATACCTATGTACAAAAATTATATCCTTGGATAGGACCAACTTACAGACTAGACCAGAGTGTAGCGTGTTCCTTGACACATGGTATTATATTATGGCATGTTGCTAAAACAGCCTTTTGACATTGACATTTTGCAGAACACCGTTAATTTCTTTGACGTTTCATTATACGTAAATTCATAGACTCGGGATCGTGATCATAACAAATGTATCGCACCAAAATATTCGCCCCAACTCTCTGAGATATTCAGGTAATCGACGAAATTTGGACGTGATATGTATCACTTTATTGAAACCGGGAGAACGTTGTGTGTTATCCATCATTGTGATTGATAATCTATGACGAGTTGATAAATTGCGCTCGAAGTTACAGTTTACCTGAATCTAATTGATTTGTATCATAAAATTAGTCTGAAATAATATGAACTATTGAAACATTATAATTTGATCACATTCAAAAGTATAACTGATTGAAACAAGTAAAATTAAATACTGTCGTTCGTTTACACAAGTAGTACACATTTAAATAAAATACTTTAACGGTTTAAAGAAATATGTACGGAGAGACCGTGACCACGGCTGCTGCAAAGCATCCGAAACGTCGGGCCGTACGCAAAACAAATTTCAGATAAGTTAAACCAATATATCGCGTTTTAAACCGTTAAAGTGCTTTTTTTTAACAGTAAATTTATAAATCTTTTATAAGTAGGTTATGGGTTATCACTGACTGAGATAGTTTAAAATCCATTAATAAAGAGTTGATTAAAAACTTGAAATCGTTTAAATATTATGTAGTGATTCTGTCTCATTCACGTGTTATTTCTTGTTCACCTAAATACAAGTAACATATATGGATAAGATGTAATAAAAATAAACTTAAACACATCAACGATTGAAGCAGAAAACGCGTTATTATGTAATACGATTACTGTATTCCTCGGTGAGTTTTATTGAGTACGATGTTTTTTTTTAAGTTGCAACGTCGTACAGCGGTACGATACGACCTTTGTTATATATGATGCTAATGTATTTACAAGCGAGAAAGTTTATGTGATTTCTTATTGTATGCAAAGTATAGTAATAATCGAAGTATTATTATTTTATTGCATGTTTAACTGTAACAATACATATTTTATGTTTTAAGATGAATTTAGGAGTTTTTAACGATGTTTTAATCTATTTATGACCCAGTTCTGGACATCTTCTTTCATAATAAATAAAGTTAAAGAGTCGTATCACGTACCACCAGTTCGTGTTGGCACTTTGGCTGACTAAGATCAATCACCAATAAAATAGTGATAGTCGGGGACATTTAAGTTATCGTGCTCTACGTATATGGGTGGTTTCATACTTCCAAATACCTAAATATTATTTCACCCAATTCAATAATCCCGAAACTTGTTATAAATAATGTAGTGTACTAAACACTTAACCAACAGTGCAAAATTATTTTACCATCTATAAACAATCGTATCGCTAATACGATGGGTCGTAACTTATAAATGTAGTCAAAGATACCCGCATGAGTGTCGGACGCGGCGGCGGCGCCGTCCAATTATTTCTTAAGAAGAGTTTGTTAATATGATAAATTGAAGCAATGAGATGAAATAGTTTTAAGCGAAGGTCATCGAAATTTAATATTATACTGATAAATAACCATAATTATTAAATGCGGATGTTTGTTGTATGATTCTATTTGCGGAACCCTGTTTTTTATATATTCGTTCCATTTAAATAACAGCTACTAGTCAAATCGTTTAACTGTTTATGTAAAACCTACATTAGGTACTTAATACGAAAGTGTTTACTTTAATTTTTTATATAAAATAAATATTATTTTATTTATTAGACATCCAGTATTGACTATATAGATAACAGTTAAGTCCACAATCGCTGTAACATGGAAAACAGTTCGTATCCGTAATTTTGCATGTTCGTGCTGACCTTTTTTGTTTTTCTATGAGATATTGATACTTTTGCATGTTAATGTCCACATAAATTATAGCTTAATTAAGACCTTAGAAAACCTGTCTGAATACTTTCGATCTGGATTAATCAAGGTTTTAAGGATACGAGTATTACGACCTAGTTATTTCACTTCTGCAAGTTAGCCAAAATGCGAAAATCTTGTGATAAACACATTTAGGTTATAGAGTAAATATTTAACTTTAAAGATATCTTTAAATTATTTTTACCTATAAATAAATTATTATCGAGGCTCAAATCTAGCGAGACAGAGTGGTATTTCAGTAATTTTCGTCGTATTACAAATTATAATAAAGAGATTTTTTTGTCTGTCCATTGAATAAAATTATCAAAAAGTTTTATATCTGTATGTATAGTCAATCTCTGTACTGCACGAGTCTCTTTGCAGTGTTCGATTAAAGTAAACATGGCGCAACACATATGTATATATTTCCATTATAAGTATTTTTTAATGAAGATTCATTCTCAAGGTAAAAGCCGTAAAAATATACTTAAAAGCTCAAAACTAAGTACAAGTGGTGTCTTCATACATTACATAATTGAATGTTTACAGCCGTCGGGACCACTTTTGGCAAAACAGAGTGAATCCTATGTAATTACACGAAAGTAAGTCAATGGGCTCCATTATAACATTAATAGCTGCTAGTTTATGTTGCATCGTTCGTGCGGAAAATAATTTTTTAACCGAATGTTATGAACAAACACCTGTGTTATAATCTCGACTTGATTCGATACAAAACTAGGTCAGTATGTATTGTATTAGAAATAATATGTGAAACAACTCGTGAGTATAAAATTAAATACTTTTTTAAGTCTCACATGTTATTGCACGTATTATATAAATTAATCGGAAAAAAAATTACGATAGTAAAATTAATTATAAATAATATCAATTTTCGACGTGAGCCGGCATCCACAGCAAACACAGCGACAGCACGGAACCGCGCGTGGCGAAAAATTTTTCAATTTTTCGCCACGCGTTTAATTTCATAAATTCAACTTTGAAATATGTTATTTTAAACTAATAAATAAAGAATCAGTGATATCTAATCGAATTATGAGTGCCTCTTTGGTGTAGTAGCTAGTACATTCAACACCAGATCACAATATTGTCAACGGTATAAATCCGGAGACGAATAAAGTGTTAGTTTGGAATTTGGATCTTTTCTGAAGAATGCTTTTATATTTTTTATCTTATCACGAGTACTTAAGACCATAAAGTTCCCATACATCATAACCAATTAATACGGTAGGAATCTAAACTCTCATAGGCTCTTTGGTGTAATGGTAGCAATCTATGGCTAACTGGTTCGTTGACAATTTGTTGACAGTTCAACAATTTTCATTAGTCTATAGAGATCCCCATAATTCTTCTTCATCCTCTATGATAAAAAACTGAAGCAGCGTGAACTCTCTTTCCCAGCTGTATAACCTTTTTAGATTGTAATGAAAGATATCTATATAACCTTGCTATACCACTGGTAATATGTATTGAATTATATCATTTTATATTATTATCAACGGAAATAAGTCAAAATGCATTTTTGTTACACAGTTGAATTTCCAGTAGCGACTCAGTTCCGCATGTTTTTTATAGCGGAAATTTGTTTTAAGTTTATATTTTGGAAGTACTAAAGAGTATAGTCTATATCGCTAATTGATTATTACTTACAAGATACGAGTAGTTTAAGCGAATTGACCTGGAAACCACTACAGTTGTTACCCATATAAAACATCTGTCAGAATTTTTCAAAATATTTCTTTTAAAATAAAACACTTTAACGGTTCGAAACGCGAAAGATATTAGTAAAACTTGTACTAATTTTTTATAACTACGGCCCGACGTTTTAGATGCTTTGCACCTTGACCATTTTGAACTAATATATTTCGCGTTTTAAACTGTTTAAGAGTTTTGTTTTAAATGTGTACTACGCGTACGCTACAGAGAATTATTTCTTTTTAATTTCGGCCATTGTTTCAATGCATGCTACTGGTGTAGTGACATTTCAACTCTGATTAACCTTAGGCGAGTTTCCCATTAGACCAGGGTTAAGTCTTGTTATCAGTACCGCGTTTGTAACATTTCATGCACACTGTGGTTATTGTTTATCGACATCCTTGACATATTGGCAATGTAAAGTCGCCGCGCCTTTTCAAAAGGAACTCACAGTTCATTGACATTATCTGATAAGTATCCTTCGTAGGCGGATAGTATAGATGCTCTGAGATAACACATGATTACAATAATTGAAAGAAATGTTAAACTTACCAGTCGAAAATAGACGAACGTAATTAGTAAAAATATATAAATGAAATCTAAGGCGAAGTATTGTTAAGTAAAATGTATAAGATATAAACTAATATAATGAAGTCTATATTTAAATCTAAACTAATATTATAAAGCTGAATAGTTTGTTTCAAAAATTCTAATTCTGTTGAATTATCGAGGAATCTTTTAGAGTTTACGCTATGTAACATAACGCTGCGACCAATGCGGCGGAAAATTTGGAAAACTATTCACCTTAGGACTTCTAAAACCAAAAAAGATGTGTGAAAGAATGAGTCTTCGTTAGATGGTTAAAAAATGCCCTCGACTGTATATGTCGGTACGCGGGCACTGTCGACGCAACGACGATTTATAAAGACGAGGTTTGCAATAGTCAATGTTGATGCTTAAAATAACTATTCCACGCAAATGAAGTCGCGGGCACAGCTAGTATAAAATTTAATTGTAAAGTCAAACGTGTGTTTCTTGTTATGTCCCTCACTGCTTGGTGCATTGTGTAGGGAAAGCTAAGGGGTTTTAGGTTTGTTTCCAGGTAAAATACTATTAAGCGTCTACTTATCCTACAGGTGCTGTGCAGAACAGAAGATATGTGCTTTTCAATATGCACTTCTTAAATTTAAATAAAACACTTTAACGGTTTGACACCTTTTAGTTGGTATTTGACACCGTTAGTCAATTCTGCAAGGACCCGGCCAGTTTCGCCAAATACCAACTTCGACCGTACAGATGGCGCTAGTGTAGCAGTTTTATTTTGACGTCAGAGTTATCCTCCATCTTTAGTCTCCCCGTGACCACGGCTGCTGCAAAGCATCCGAAAAATCAGGCCGTAGTTTAAAATAATTTTCAAATAAGTTTAACTAATATATATCCCGTTTTAAACCGTAAAATTGTTTTTTTTTGTAAGTGTACCACTCGCGTAAACAACAGCCAGTATGCGCTTCTTTGTAGGTGTTTATAAGGTTTCAGTCATGTCGGGTTGCCCATTGCACTTCGCCGTTTTAATTTTTGTTTACATTCTCATTAAAACTACACTGTGTAACAAACAATAACACGAATTTTCTAATTCATAGACGCAACATTCTTTCCTTTTATAGTCTAGCCCTAGACTAATTATAGAAATAAGAGCAGGAAGGTTAAATGACCTACTTTCAAACGTAAATCGGTCTAAAAGTGGAACGCAGCCTTTTTATGCAGCTGTCGAGGTCAAATATATAGTAAACAGAACAAATTAAACTTTTTACACCGATTGCTAATACGCCGCAACATATCAGCACAGATAATCTAAGGTTTCTGTACATGAATGAAGTTTTAATTACCCTGACTAATTCTGTGTTGCAATGTGTCAAACTAATGCTTTGTTGAATTATTCATTTGTTTATATACAAAATGGAGGAGGCATTTTAATTCTTATCTTACTAATATTAAAGGCGATTTTATCAGCATGGTTATCCCTCGTTGGCGTGCCAATGGCTAGACAGTTTTTAATATCCTTTGTGCTTAATGCAACGGGCGTTCTAGGATAACCTTTGAAAAAATCTATGCATTAAAGATAATAAATGGTAAGTGTAGGGCACGAACCCACAACTACCACCGCGGGGAGCTTATAATATTTTATGTAGCCCTTAATATGAGCTATTTTGAATTTAAAGAGCACTATATTTCATTTGTATTTGAGAATTTAGCTCTAAAAAGTCGTATAGACGTGAATATGGATTTCCACAAAATATTTGTTCAGATATTTAGACTACAGACTAATTGAAGATATTGTGCAATAGAATTAAATATATGAGTGGTTCGCTAAAATTACACTTATTTAACACACACATTAACATACACACACACAAGTTACACACAAACGAATGGATAAAGGGAAAATCAATTAGTCAATTATTATAGCTCACCATTCTGTTGTTTATAGAGGTATGGTCATTGAAGTAGAAGTACTGGGTTCAAATTATATCTATTTAAATAGATAAACAGAACATTTAAAGAAACAGAAATAGTCTGATGTTCTTACTCATACCTACTTATTGTAGCAGAACATTTTATAAATGTCAATATTTTGATATAGGTTTATTTTCGTTTAATGAAACATGGTCTATAATTATTATGTAATTTACATATTTTAAAGCCTACGATACCTTATATTTCGCATTTTAAACCGCTAATAGGGATTTATTTAAATTAATCTTGAGTAAATTATTATGTTTTGTTCCGTTGACGTTGTATGTGACTGTGTATTTTATACCGCATCCACGCATTCCTACATCGTTGGTCCGTACCGGAACCTAATCGGAGTCCGGCGAAGGGCGCCGCCATTCGCCATCTGACGTTGCATGCAATGTTTACGTTTTGTCTCATTTTTCATAATTCATGAACTTTGCGTCATATTATTTAATACTTAAGGATTAACTGGAACATGACTAAGTCCTTTTGTTATTATTACATAGTTAAACTGTACTATATTTTCATACATCATTTTACATTTTACAAGCTAGTCTGATGTTACAATACATAATATTCGAATTATATACACAAAGTAGTAAATATAACATTAATCTAACTCCACTAGCTCTGAGGTTTGCAAATAATACTATATTCAGCAATATAATATCGAATTGGGAGTATTCGGTAAGTCCCATAACCGAATAGCCGAATATTCGGAAAAACTTTTCGATCAGATTTTAGCTCCTTAGTTTAAACAAATGTGATTGTTTTAATGGTCTTACCGCTTCCGCGCCCGCCTGTTTCTACTCTGGATGTTTCAATAAAAATGTCTTTTTGCACTATAACCTTTCCCTTCTAAATTATGATTATGAAATAATTCAAATACATATTATAATAGTAACTTGTCTAACACCGAAGATGATTCTAACTATAAAATCTATATTTCATGAATCAATTAATTTTTCATTTACTCAATTATCGAGTATTCAGCCGCATAGTACAAAAGACGCCGAATAGGCCGAATATTGAATAGTACGGTTACTATTCGGTATTCGGCCTAATATTCGTTGCAATATAACACGCTATAATAAAAAAATACTGATAAGTAGACGCCTTAAATATCCCTTCTAACTTCTTAATAAATCCCTGTCTGACGCATAAGTATATCTACAACACATACGTGACACAGGAGAATACTATTAATATTCGTGGATGCTAATCGTCGCATGGTAGAAACATTGTGCGTGTGTATAATAATGTTATGTTGCAATTCAAGCAACGGAACCAGCTGAAGGAAACCCACAGTTGCGACAAACTGACACTATTACACTAAAATAACTGATGGCTCAATGGTGGAAGGGTATTAATCTAAAACGTGCCATGACATACGACCATATTTGGCATGAAATAATGTCATGTTGCTAAATAAAACATGGTAGGAAGAATGATAACGCTTCTTTTAGAAATGTTTCATTATTTATGAGGTTCATATAGAGATGTTTAATGACGCAAACGGCGATATAGATTGTGGCATTAACGATAATGTTCTTATTTCAATCTATCTACACTAATATAAGGCTAAAGATTTTGTTTGTTTGTACACGCTAATCTCTAAAACGACTGGTTCGAATTGAATTCTTTTTGAATAGAGCATTTATCGATGAAGTCGCTCTGCATGTAAAAGAAGAAAAGAAACTGCGGAAAGGGGTAAAAAAGGGAGAAAATGATTATCCTTGTGCGTTTCCATTGCGCGCTTTGCGAAGGTTCAAGATACCCAATAAACATCACGAAAGAACGGTTCCTCTTTAAATGATCTAAAAAAATGTCCTCGACAGTCTATATTTTACGATTAACGATTAAGTGAAAACAGTTTCAAAATTTTTCATATTTCTATAAAGTTTTTAGTCAACCTTTAGGAAAAGATATACGCTTTTTAAAGAGCTTAGTTTTCGATACATAATGGCCAAAGTGTAACGTAATCCGTCTGTGACAACTTAAATTTTACACAGTTCATAAAAGACCCAGTAGCACAAAACTCGTACTATATCCTTATGGCTAATAGAGTTAATTAGATCTCCCTAAGTCTATATTGCCTTAAGAAATATTACAGTAGGTTCACGGTTTAGTCATTCGCACGGTGTATAGTAAACACTCGATCTCGCAACAGTATCCGGCCAGGCGTTGTCCTTCACTTTTACTGTCCTGCTTGAGATCGAGATTAAATTCACATCATACGGTTCCCATAATAATTAAGACCCTTCCGTCGACCTAGTCTAATTCTATTGGCCCACTTACAAAATCGATTTGATTTATTATCGCTTGCAAAATCGTTAGGCCTCTGAGGCCTTAGATAAGCCAAATATCTAAGTTCGAAAAAACATGCATGGGATTGACAGACACATTTTTAATTTGATGTATTGTATATATATGTAGTATTCATACATATACAAGAATGTAGATCGTGAATAATTAAAATGAAATACTTGCTTTGACGTATACGGAAATATAATGTCGCCTTGAAAATATCCCTTTTACGCTAATTACGCGAGTGCCCTATATAGCAATTTTCTTTATTATCCAATACTTTACCTGTCTTGAAACATTATAAACACGTCCATATGTCATTCTTGCTAATTACTGTAAGCTGACTATATACTTAACATATGTAACAGGCAATAAAACATTCTTCTGAGTTTAAAAACTTATACTTCTAGTTACGGTTAAAAATATGATTCATCTATTTGATTCATGAAAAATCGATATTATAATTTAAAAATATTTAAGACACGGCTGCAGGCTTGAACTGGTTCCTCTGCGTTGCTTCAGCGGGCGCAGGTTCCTTCCCGCCCGGGGGGGGGTTGCTGTTGCTACGAGCCCGTGCTGTTGGTGTAACCAGTTGAATCGCTGCATTTGCTGGTCCGATTGGAGGTAAATTTGTATAGGTGCCATCATTCGTGCACCGACGTCCTGAGTGATCACGTTAAAGTTAGGGAGATGTTGTA